TTGTACCTTGTACTATATTCATCTATAAATAAAGGACTGGTCAACTGGCTAGTACAGTTCGACATTCTCTTCAGTTCTGTGGTTCTCTTCTCTTCTTTGCTACTTCGAGTATAGCTCTTCAGATTACACAATCTATGCCATAAATACAACACTTAATAGAGTTCTTGTAACATATCCTACAGCCACAGGTAACTTCAGTTTCCTTGTAGTGAATGCTCATAACTTAGTTCTCTACAATAACCCCCAACCTGGAAATATTTTTTTAGACCCATCCGTTGCAGAGCTTCAACCAAATTTCTCCTGTCAAGGCATGAAACAACAGCACAAGGGATTCGAGCTGTAGAGACTGCATCCAGCCATTCTTCTAATCCTTCCATGGGTTTATTAAGCTGAAAAAATGAACAGGTCAGTGATGTTTCAATGAAATTTGTAAATGAATACATTCAAAATTTACACCAGCAAAATCAATTGATCACAAGAGGTCTCACTTTAAGAAGATTTTCATAATATAACTGTGACAGCCTAGACTTCAATCTGTCTAATTCACCTCCTGCATTGTCCCAAAGCAAAACCTGCAAGTTACGAAAGATTTATCAGGATCTCAAAAATGAAGAGTTGACTTTTGACACAGAAAGTAGCAGAAACCATCTTTCTTCATAAACATAAATTTGCACAAACAAAAGTCTTGAACAAGAAAAAAGAAAAACAATAAATAAAGTCCCCTTAGTTTCTTTCTCTTTTTTACTCTTTCCATCAGATATCAGGCATACAAAAAGTAACAGTCAGCATGAAGAGTCACACAACCATCTTTACAAGCATGAAATAAAGCAACTGAAAGAGAATTTCCAGTGGACATCCATAGGCAAATAAAACTAAAATGCAACTGTTTTCTTCACTCTTTCTGTTTATGATATGCAAACCAAGGGCCCAAAATTCAGAGACAAAATAAAGAAGTAACTAGGCAATGCATAAAATTGTGCCATGGGAAGCTGGACCATGAATGATAGTCTAACTGAAATAAAGCAATACTACTGACCCAACCAGATGAAGCTTCAATGATGCTTCACTGCCACCCATGACAAAGAAGCTATACTATTACAAAATAATCATGACAGATCCCAAAATATACTGTTGGATGTCCATAAACTTCAAATCCAACATTTTTGGAAATAAGATACACAAATCTTCTACAATGTATTTGGTAGTTTCTTTCTTTAAGTTCCAAAGATTTCTTGGAGAAAATAAGAGAGAAAAAAAGAGTAAATCCCCCCAATTCCTAAGATGAGATAAACTTGCAAACCTTCTTCAGTACATGATCAGCACCTGCATAAAGCATTAATTTTTGCGCATTACCATCTTCAGGAAGGTCCTTTCCTGCATAACAACAAAAATGCTAGCAGTTATACATGGGTAAGAGCAAAAATAGCCTTGGTTAACATGCAAAAGTAAATAAAAGAATCAGGCCTTGCATCCAGTGCTAGAGAGGTTAAATTTCAATATATTGGGTTCAGGACTCTTATGTCAATGAATGGAGGCAGGAGGATAAATGTTACTGGTTTTTACAAGTTATGGATGTTTTTATTCCTACAATACCTTCTTTATCAGATATCCAGACCCATTCTAATTAGAATATTAGAAGTAATTGCTTTGGAGAATAAATCTTGGTACCATATCTACACATTTAATCAGTGATGGGTCAGGTTCAGAGTCTTCAGACCATTCCTGGTCCCATCTGAAATTAACTAGTGGATAGCCCTAGGAATACCTCTCCAGAATACCAAAGTGGCTGATGAGATGCATTTTCTCAACTAGCCCACTATTTATGGAGATACAGCAAAAAAGCAGGCACTAGAAACAATAGCTTATAGAGTTTGACATTCCACTTTCCAGTCTTTAAATATCACTGAAAGTCGCATTAAAAATAAACTTACATGCCAGCCATGGATCCTTGGCATCTACATCATAATATGGAGGCTGCTTATTGATTGGTTTTGTACAATCATGAACATGGAGATGACATGCATTATCACAGTCAGTGTTGAGTTACTGTTATTTCATTCCCTATTATATTCATTTTGTTACAACAATACTTACTGGCAAGTAAGTTCAAGTCAATAGTTTTAAAAGTGAATATGAAGGGTCAGCCATATTCTGTTCATGTATATTGTGAAGAATTTAACTTTAGCTAAGGTCATGTAAGACTGGGAAAAGTCTATGAATGTCACTTCATAGTCACTAGTGAGTTTTTTTTCTAAAGAGATTTCTCAAGTCCCAACTCATATATCATAAAAAAGATCATCCCTTTTGGTTTCAGAGATCTTACATCTTCTAGTCCTGTTATTAATGATAGCAAAATACAGCCCATTTAACCATGACCTTGATGATCAGTTTAGGACAAGAATGATTCAGAACAAACTAAAAATCTTTGCCTTCTCAAAGAAAAGGTCGAATTCTCTCTATCTTATCCAAAAGGCATACTTCTTAAAGCTAATGTACAAAAAATCACAGGCAAAATAAGGTATAAGTCTTTACGTAAAATATTAATGTTTTCATAAGAGCACATTCAATTTAAAGCAAACATGGTAACCACATACCCTCTTCATAGGCAAGTTGTTTCCAAGCATTTAGCTTCAAGGCACGACTATCTGCCTGGAATGACATCAAATGTCATTGTACTGAGTAAAACAAAATAAATTTACTGAACAATATAGTAAAATGAAGCAATTCATGTCCCATGAGAGCTTTTATGGGAATACAGAATTCCATCAACTAACATATAACCTAAATATCCATCATATACCTCAAGGGAAACAAAGCAATTTGGCAACAATAACATAAATCTAGACAATTTTAAATGCAAAAAAGTTACAAGTATATATCAAAAGGCATATTTCAAACTGAGGCCAAGATATCACATGATAATATGGGACATATGAAAATAATCAGCATATAATAAAGCAAAAATAATTACTAAATTGATTTCTAATACCATGTAGCCATGGAGATGAAAGCAAGGAACTGAATGAAGAACAAGAGCCAGAAAATAGTCATCCAAGCATTGAACCTTATGGTATTGTTCAATGATGCAATTCAAGCTCTATAAGGCACTTGACTTTTGAATCCTAGCAATTACTTGTACAAAGGCCATTATCCAATGTTGGTCCTAGCTATCTTATTAAGAATAGTAATCATAGTCTTGAATATCATTTACTTTAAATGTGACTGATGCAAAAACCATCAGAAGTTGTAGAGCTTGTTGACACAGTAATGTATCTTTTTTTTTTTTGGTAAAAGTGGTGTATCATCTTCTATGTGCATGCGATATCCATGTCGGGATGCATCTGAGTCCAACAGTCCACAAATTGATGAGGGATATTTTGAGTTCATCTTTAGTAATAATTGTATGTTCAACATAGTTGAACATCTAGTAATACCATCTCTCCTTTCCTGTCTTTCATAAAATGCCATCCCCCATCTAGCAATCCTTCCCTCTACAACCTTTTAGTCTTATTCCAATTGATTGGATACATGAGAGGAAGCTTGATAAGACCAAGCATCATTGAATGAAGACAACATGAAGAACCTTTCCACAACATGTTAGAAGGCCAATTAAAACATATCTAATCAAAATAACTACTGATGTTCTTTCCTGAAAATAATAAAAATATCTTTCCACAATAATCATCAGCTATTGCAGGGCTTACTGAAGTTCAATAAAGTCCATGTTAATTGACAGCCCTCCCTTTTAATATATTATCCTTTACAGACCTTAGTCATATCTAACCAATTGCTGTTGAAAACCCTGGACTTTAATCGATTTTAATTCTAGTTGTTTTCCGCTGAAAATCCAGAAACCTTGCTTGAGTGATATTTGCTGGAATGCTCTCAAGTTGTAAGTGCTATTCAGAAAATCCAGCAAGTAGATACTCATTATGTGGACCATCAAGTTGGTGAAATAACCTCGTTCCTTCCTTTTAATGAGTTAAATAACTTGATATGATTATCGAATTCAATTCAGGTAAATACAATTCACATCTAGGATCTGCCTATTTCATCTACTATTTAGTAAGATCGATATTTTGCATAACCTAACTTCCCCCACAAAAGTAAAATCCTATACCTCCAGAAGCTAAACATGAAAACATAATTCCAACAAGAAAAAAAAAAGGTCCAAAAGTAATTACCACGACATTTTCCCAAGAGAAAATTAGACCAAAAGCTTCATCAGGCTTCATGGCATAGCGGATTCTCTGAAGAAATCCTTCCTGTAATCTGTCGTTTAGAAAATCCTGCGCATTAACGAATAGCATTGGTGGGTTATGGTCAATTTCTTGCACCAACCATTGAGCATAATAAGAACATTAAAATTAAAAAATAAAATAAAATAAATGAATTCCAACACAAACGACCGCAATAGTTCCTTAAGTCCTTGGCCCTTACCACATCAACTTTTAGAGGGCCGTTTGGTCTAAAAGTCTCAAAACCTTCGCCATATTCAGCTCCAATTGCCTGAGAAAGAATACAGAAGAGTAAAAATATCGAAAAGAAAATCCTCACTAACGAGAAGACAAGCTAAAATGTTTCTTTCCTCCTGAACATCAGGAATTTCATGAGTTCCCTATTAAGCCCGGAGTTTTTTTTTTTCTTAATGAGAAATTCAGGGCAGGGGAAACAGGCAAAAAAATCTATATGCAGAAATCAAAAAGAAAGGAGGGTCCTCTCTTCGGAGAAAATAAAATGGTATTAGAAACCCCAAGTACCTCTTCCATGAAAACCTTATTCGGTGGAACCGGAAGCCCATCCTCCCAACCATTTAAATCGAACTCCGATGCCTTGCAAATACCCAAATGCTTTACCAAGCTCGGACACTTCCCTCTCTACCAAACTCGAACAAGTAATTATAACAATAAGAAGAATTGGAGGAACAAATTTTTGAAACTTAAAATATTAAACAAAGACGCAGAACAGAGGGAAGGATGCACCTGCAATCTTAGCTTTATAGGGAATTGCGAAACTCGAAGTGGAGAAGTCGGTCTAAGAGGAAGCAAAGAGGAGCTTCTGATAGTACAGTCCATAAGAACAGTCTACGCGGAAGAACCCTCGGAGAGAGAGAGAGAGCGCCTCGCAGGAGCACCTGTTACTGTTAGTTTTTCGCTCTTCCGTTTTTTTTTTTTTTTTTTCTTTATTTTCTGAACGACTGAGTGGTATGCTATGGATGCTTTATTTTTATAGTTTTGGGAGGTAGTTACGTATTGGATTCATAAATAGATGAAAACCCTTGCCTTCTGAACGTGTCGTTGCCGGTAAGAAGAAGGAATTTCATTTGCATTCAGCAGGCAAACGCCCAAACTAGTGGTTTTTATAATGACGAAAAATTCCCCTAAAATGGACTTTTTAGCCGGGAACTGACTACAATATCCTCCACAATGATAGAGGTGGATGGCGGTCTTTGTTTCTGGCAAAATGGGAAATGGGGCTTTTGGTCATTGTATTGAAAGTTACATTGTCAATTTTTCAGGTTACTATTTGTTTTGTTAGGGCTGTGTGACAGGCCTTCACACTTCACATTCACACCCCCAATGTTTGAGGTTAGTAGTTTTCTTTTTATTTTAATTAGTAGGAAATGGAATTCAGTCGGTGCAAAGTACTTTCAAACAATCATTATAGCCTTGCTCCCCATGAAATAAACAGTCTAGGGCCCAAACCCAATCACCTCCCCTTTAATGGGGATTGGGATTGTTTGGCAAGTCTTTATAGTAGATCTTTTAATAGCCCAATAAGCAAGAAGATGCAGTTAACTTTTGGAGTCTTATCTGTAAAGACCAAAGACTGTTTAATTCGCCTCTACCAGATTGTTAAAAACAATTAGGAATGTTATTTTCAACATGAAAAGACCATTTTTTGATCTTTTGAGCCTTTCACAGACCGAAGACATGCCAAAAATATGCACTAAATACAACCTAAGCTTATTAATTAAGAGTTCGGATCTCTTGCCCATACAAACTGTGCCATATCTACCCACATAACATCACAGCTATACATAAATCCTCCTACATGATATTATGTAGGGAGAGATATTCCCAATTCACGGAAATAGTATATTATAGGTAAAGATGGGAAGAGTTCTCGTGAGCAGGTGAGGTGATCCGGAGTCATTAACTACTTAGGGGGGTGTATCGTCTTATACCGAAATCACCTCCCTATTAACAACTAGTGTAGGTACAAGTGTTCCATCAACTAATCAAGTAGGTTAAATGCACATGGGCATGTGCAATTTCGAGTAAAGGTGTAAATTAACATATTATCAAATTTTACCAAAGCTAATTATTTGCTCTATAATAGTATAGATACTACTATACTTATAGGGCATTCATCAACATGTTTATTTTTCAGAATACTTTTATTAATGTTGCAATTGATTTTCGTCTTGAAAAACAGAATGAAACACGTGGGCAAATACCCCCTAACTAGGGTTGTTCATAAGAATGCCCAACCCGACCAAATCGACCAACTCGGACCGACCCAATCCGAGTCGGCCGGGTTTTCATTCGTACTGGTCGGTTTCGGGTTGGGCACATACAAAAACCGATATCTCGGGTCGGTTTCGGTTTTCACATAAGAAAATCGAAACCGACCCGAACCGAACCGAACTAGTCTTTCTTCTACTAGTTTGGTAGTTCCTACTTCCTAGTTTGAGTAGTCTCCTAATTCCTACTAGTCTTCTAGACTTCTACTAGAAATAGAACGCCCATTAGGCAATTATAATTAGAATTCAATTAATTAAGTGTCATTTTTTAGTTTTTTACCTAGATTAGGCAATTACAATTAGAATTCCTACTAGAAGTAGAAGGCCCATTAGGCAATTACAATTAGAATTCCTAGTTTCCTACTAGTCTTCTAATTTCACTTTTGTCTTCTCTTAAAATCTTCTATTCTCTAACTTAACTTGGTTGGTCYGCCCCCCTCAACTCAAGTCCTCAACTAATTCAGAGTTTATTCGGCTTTGTACAGGAGCAAAACCGAAACCGACCCAACCCGACTCAAACCGACCAGGTCGGTTTGGCCTATCAATGGACCGGTTTCGGTTCCCACCTCTGGTAACCCGACTAGGTCGGGTCGGTTGGGAAAATGCCATGAAACCGACCCAACCCGACCCGTGAACACCCCTACCCCTAACCAAGCAGTGGTTCTAAACTCTATTAATATAAACATGTTAAAAGGGAGTTAGGATCAGCTACCAACACACGGTGCCAACTGTATGCAAACCATCCATTGCAGCCATCCGATGGGAGAGTTTTGTTGGTAGTACATTCATACCCTGCTTAAGAGAGAAAAAAGGGATAATTTTGGTTGTTGGGCCCAATAGCATAGGCTCTTGAGAACTTTTTTTGGGCTGGCTATGTTCACCTATTCATGTCCATGTCTTTCTTTTTTATCAAAATCATGATTTTAAAAAATACCCAGAAATGGAATCATTCTGGCCATTAGTTTCTAGGTCGACAGTTCGAATGGACGGCCCATTTTGACAAAAAAATTTAAAAAATAATTAAAAATAAAGAATGAACAAAACCATTGAATGGGCCAACGGGTCATTGATTGATTTAACGGTTTTTTGCCATGAACCGAGTTTAGGGTAAAATGGAAATGGTTGCCTGAACGGTTTTTGGGCTGAACGATTTGACTATCTAAGTCAACAGTGGTTCGAAAACCATTATTAAAATAAAATAGGGACAATTACTAATTTATCCACATGATAGCAAGTTTAGAGCCAAATTCGAAAATGACTTTTTCCCAATTTTTCTGACAAGCAAGATTTACTTTACTCGTGAAAAATGCTATTTGATTCAAATCCCGATAACATGATATAACTTTACCAAAAAATAAAAGATAAGATGATTTATGTCCACGCATCTCAAATGTGATTTGTGATTGTTTCATTGAGTGTCTGCAGTCCCTGCGTTGCAGGGGCTCGCTCATAAACTATCAGGCTCGAGCTTGATTCAGATTAGAGACTTCAGCTCGAGCTCGAGCTCTACTCGAGTCAAAAGCTCGGAATTTCGAGCTCCGCTACCTTTGATTGCAGGTCTCTCAAGAAGTCGAGGTCTCCATCAATTGCTGAGGTGCCAAATTGAGGTCTCCTTCAGTTGCTAAAGTGTCAAGTTGAGGTTTCCCTAACAGGCGACGTGTCGAGCTAAGGTCTCCCTTAGTTGACAAGGTGTCAAGCTGAGGTCTCCCTCAATTTGTTGAGGTCCTAAGCCGAGATATCCCTCAATGACTAAAGTGTTGAGCCGAGGTCTCCCTCAGTGGTCGAGGTGTCGTCTAGCTCGAGCTCGACTCGAATTAGAGACTTGAGCTCGAGCTTAGAAGTTTGAGCTTGGCTAGGCTCGAACTCGACTACCTTTGATTGCAGGTCCCCTAGCAGCCGAGATGCTGAGCTGAGGTCTCCCTCAGTTGAAGAGAGAGTGGCATTCTTGTAATTTATAAGGAGGGAGAGAGAGAGAGAGAGAGAGAGAGTTGGTAGGAAAAAGTGGCATTCTTGTAATTTTTATGAAAAAAAGACAAAAAAAAAAACACTACTAAATTCCATTTCCCCCATCCTTAGGCCTTACTTACACATTTCAGCTTAATATATTTACATAGATTACTTTAGCATAGAAACAATCACTCGGAATCTGCTGCCCACAAGTTATTCCCACATATTTACCACATAGCACCACCATTATATATTGGGAACTATCTCCCCATGAGTGATAAAAGGAGATATTCCCAATGAGCAGTTGTAATGTGTCGTGGATAGGGATATGAGAACAATTAATGGGTAGCAGATCCAAGCCTAGACACAAGAGCCAACATAAGTTTTACACACAAAACCATAAGAAAATTTGGAATTGGTAATAGAGCATGCATCATAATTATTTTTAATATCACCTCTAGAAAGAGAATTTCAACAAGAGAGAAAAAATACACCGAGGTTAAAAGAAGCCCTAAAACCTTTCTCACATTGAAAAAAGATTTAGTTCACCATATGCAAAATTCAAGAATGTCTTTTTCTTATCTTGAAATATTAGAGAACTCCTGACATAGCAAATATAATAACAGGTAATAAGATAACTAGGACAAAACAAATCACATTTTTCTTGCTTAACAAGCAAAGATCGAAGGCAGTCAAATGATTCAGAAGTTCTTGGAAGCATGGTTTTTAAAAACGAACCGGTGATCGAATCGGTCAGGGGTTGGTTATCGGTTCGAACGGTCCAATCGCTTGACCTGAACGATCGGCCCATTCTGACAAAAAAATTTAAAAAATTGGAAAATAGTCAAAACCATTCAAACGGTTTGAATGATTAACCAGCCGGTTCAGCTGTTTGCTTATCAAAATCAATAGTTTTGGGGGAAAAGCAGGTTTGGGGGAAAACGACCGGTTCCCGGTTTTTCCAGCCTGACCATCCGGTCCGATCCGGTTTTGAAAACCATGCTTGAAAGTTAAAGCCTTCCATATAGGAAGTACTTCTCAAGGCCCATAATGTAGTTTTGAATTACAGGAACTATTCTATTATCAAGGAGAAGTCATCACATGCTCCGTGGAGGTTGAAGACCATTTTAGAAGAGTGCAAGAAGATTCGAGAGCACCTGAGGGGCAGACCGTCAGAGTGGAGTATCTTCATGTCTACAGGGAGGCCAATCAAGGAACCCACATCGTCTGCATCCACCAATAAGAAGAGAGCATGTCATAGAAAGATGTTACATGCATTTTAACTAACGGAATCCAGATTTTAACGGGCGTCTAGACTCCAAAAACTTTTTTAAGTTTTGTTAAAGACCTGTTCCACCGTCACCGGTTGCATCACCGGTGTTCGATATCCCTTAGTCTCTCTCTCTCTTTCTCATTTCTTCTTCTTCTCTCTTGCTCCGAATCAGCAACCCAACCTTCCAATCAGTGCCACCGCTACAATCTTCACCGCCACTGCAACTGATGGTTGAACCGCATTGCTGCCACCATCAGTCTCAAAGCACAAGACAAAAATTGAACTCAACCCCTAGATTCCACTTGTATCTGACTTTATAACTCTCTGTCGTTGAATGAAATCCATTTACTTAACAAAAAAAATCACAAATGGATCCACACAAATCACAAGCCACAAATTACTATTGTAGCAGAAATGAACTCTCAATAGCTGCATTGATATGAAGTATCATTCAATGAGAATGATCAAGTCGCCAAGAAATCTGTTTTAAGCCAAATACCAGTGATTAATTTTTGTTGCTTTGTGATTTACAGGTCAGAAAGATTTTGCCACCTCATGTGTCTACTATCGAATAAGATGTAATTTGATGGCACTTGTGGCAATCGATATGTTAACACGAGAATGTTGTAGGATCTGGTTCACGTTTCATTTTCTCCTAGAAGAAAAAGGAGTAATAGGATGTAGCTGAAATATTTCATCTCAGAAAAAAAAATGTTTGAATTGAAACGAAAATATTTGATAAAAGGATGTTTTTCTTTTTTTTTTCCTTTTTTTTTTACTCAAGAGTCATCATGCTGAGTTAAAAAAATAAATGAAAAATTTTGCTCAGTCTTCAAGCTGGCCTTTTCTTCTTTCTTTTTTGATAGATTCAAGTCTGCATTGTTAGTTTACTGATATAATCACCTCCCCGCCTTCAGGGATTTGAATTTACTTCTATTTGTTCAATGGAATCCTGCTTGTCATCAAAGAATTGGAATGAATATTCTTGCAACATTGAATCCACACTATATATTGATAAAAGAAACAATTGAAACTGAGTTGCAAAAATAGAGAGAGAAAGAGAGATTCAATCTTCAGGGCTATTTTTGTTTGAAGTTACAAGGTTATGGATACAAAATGAATATGGCATCCATACATGATTTACCTTCCTGATTCATCAAAAATGAAGAAAAAAAAACTACTCTACAATCAACCTGTGATATCATTTTTTATTCCTTTTTCCCCTCTATTTACACATGGCACAAATACCTCCAACACATCTCCCCTCTCCCAATACAATAACACAAATCAAAGAATGTCCTCCTAAACGTGTTTTTTCCCCAATATGAACGAGTATGTATGTGCAGTTTTTTCTCCATACCTATACTAACATGAACCAATGGCGTGTGATCAGAAACAACCTCCTTTCTACATCACCCTTCAATTGTAACACAACTCTTAATAGGCTTCAATTTGATTCCCAGGCTATCTGGAGATAGAAGCTTTGGAGCTATGCATGAATGGTGGAGGATCTAATAGGATTTGAGCCTTGATTTGGCAATGGCGCAGGAGGGAGCTGCCTATGGTATCCAAAACCCATCAGAACGAATTCAATAGGGCCAAGCATGACATATGGGTGCTCCTCTGTTACTAACGAACTACGGGCTTCAACCTGCACAATATAACATTAGTATCACTACATGTAGACTGATGGCAACAACGGTGCAGTTCGATTGTCGATTTCAACAATGGTGGAGGTTGCAGTGTTGGTGCCGGTTGGAGGGTGGGAGAGAGGAAAAGAAAGAGTATAGAAAAAACCGAAGAGATTGAAAGTAGTATGTCGGTGATGTAACTGGCGACAGTGGTAGCTCGTGAGGTTGAAGAACAGAGGTAAGGAGAGCGGAGGTACCAACAGAGAGAGAGAGAGAAAGAGACAGGAACAGGTCGAGAGTCCAGTCAAAAAGAGATTGGGCAGGTTTAGCAAAATTTAAAAGTTTTTGGAGTCTAGACGCCCGTTGAAGTCTGGATTCCATTATGGTCTGTTTGGTTGTTGAGAAATAGTGGAATGAAAAGGGGTGGGATGAGAAAGGAAATTTCATTTTCTCATTTTGACATCCTATGTTGAGACCAATTATTCTGCAAAATTTGTTTTCCGGTGTTTGATTGTTGAGAAAATTTTACGAGATTGCTTGATTTCATTCCCCTTGAACCATTACCAACAGTGGAAGATGAACACCCATGGTTGTCTCCTATATTCCACTTCAATCATTATCAATGATGATGACAGAAGCTTAGCAAGGTTTAGATCTGCAATAATAAATCGTTCTACTTAATAGCAGAGGTTCAATGATAACAAATTTGCAATAGAGGTCTTAGCATATCTACAACGATGGCAATGGCCAAGAAATCAGGGATGCCTAAGAAATCTAACCAATATATAATGAAAAAAAATTACAAACTTGTTAGATCTACAATGATAAGAACAGAGGTTTAAGCAGATCTACCAACATTTGGTTGTCAAAAGGCTAAGAAATCAGGAATCGGAAGAAAGGCAACAAAGTTTTAGAGAAAAAAATACAAAAAAAAAATAGTTTACCGGAGAGAAACAAAGCATGGATAGGTCTTACCTTCGTTGGAGATGAAGAACAGTGATTGGACTCTTTGGCAGTTGGGGTTCTGAAGCTTAGCTACGAAGAAAAACAATGAGGTTTTTGAGAAAAAAATACAAAAAGAAAAGGTTCAATGAAGAAAACAGAGGAGATTTCATGTCTTAACTTCACCGGAGATGAAACACCCTATCGATAGGGTCTGAAGCTCGACTTGGAAGATAACAGATAATGAGTTTTCAGAGAAAAAAAATACAAAATGGCTAAAAACTGTGAAGCGGAGATGGAGATGGTGAATGGAGGTCTTAGATTCATTAGAGGTGAAGAAAACAGTGGTTGGAGATTTGATCGTGGGGACATGTGAACGGAGATGTCGCCTTCGACATTTTTTTCCCACCAACTTCTCATTGTTTTCGTTTCTCAGCGGGGTCGCACCTATCTGGTGAGACCCCACGTCTCTACTTTTGGGATGTAAGTTCTCATCCTATCCCATTGCTTCGACCAAAACAAATAAGAGAAAATAGGAATCTCATACAAATATTCTTATTTTTTCATCCTGGTCGCGACAACCAAACATACTTTTAGGCTCAGTTTGGAAAGAGTACAAATACAAATGTGTACGATGCAAATGCCTACAAAATAATATAAAATATAAGGTTTTGCACTCTATAAATTATATTTGTACTTCTTCCAAACTGAGCCTTAGTTGAAATGCATCTAACATCTTTATATGACGTGTTCTCTTCTTATTGGTGGATGCAGACGATTATTGTGAGTTCCTAATCAAGCTGCTGATTGGAAGGCTAAGGAAGCTCTTCCTCATCGAAACGAGTCTTTGCCCTTCAGCAGTATTAACATTCTTAAGGATTTGATTCCTATTTGCAAGGACAAGCTACCCCCCCCCCCCATCTTGTGTAACTCAGCCTGATTATACTAAACACACACACCAAAAAAAAATCTTCTATTATTATCCTTTAGCTATGAATTTTCTTTTGAATTGATAAAACCTCTCATATCTCCACAAAAAAAAAAAAAATTGTATCTTGGAGGGATGTCTAGATTCCAAATCATACTAATAATTTTAAGCATAAGATCAAACAAAATAACCCTCCTCCAACTAGTAATATAGTTATAGGCTTACTTAACAAAAATCCATCATAAAACACACAATATAAGATCATCCTTATTTGAAGATCTAAAAATATTAGTGTTTCAAATTTCTATTCCACAAATAGAGTCCTTTGGATCCTTAGGAGGGGGCCAAAAGGAGTGTAAAAACCCTCTACCTTTCATAATCCAAGGAAAATTTTTAGTTTTAAATGTTGAGAGAGGTGTTAGCATTAACCCAATACTCAAACCGATCCAACAAATCATTAAGAGAATTAAAAATGTCTCTTCAAGCAACAAAACTTGAAGGTTTTCTTTTCTAAGTGGTAGAGTTAAGTTGTGTTTGGTTTGAAGGAAAAGGTAGGGAAACCTATAGAAAACTTCCCAAGAATATCCAAACTAACCTTCACACAAAAAGCCTAATTAATATATCTAGCTTTCCTAACACCCAACCCACCTTTTTTAAAGAGCAAATAGCATTTTTTTTATCAGTAACTGAAAACTTTTATTAAATAAGAGAAATATAAGTACAAGAAAGGGGGAGACAAAATGTCTTAGCTCCCCACCAATAGATTACAAGAAAAACTTAAAAATTAGCCCAAAATAAAGAATCCCTATTCGGCCCTTGTTTGGCTAAACCATCAACAGGTGAGTGGCACTCATTTTCACCTAGCTGTACTTCACCTCAATACCCCTACTAGGCCATTTGAATTTCTTCCTTTCATTGCTAAACCTTCACATGCTGCTGTTATCTTCCTTTATCCACCTAATCACTACCTCTGAATCCCCTTCAAGGATCAACCTAGCTTTTTGGATACCTTCCAGAACCACAAAGATCTTAGCTCTCTAAGTGAGTCTCCTTCTCGAATAGGGCCTGAAAACAAAGATAAAATAATCCCCTCCTCATTCCTGAACACACCCCCAATTCCAGAAGGCCTTGAATTCCCCACATAAAGAGCAAATAGCATCTCAAGAGCACCATCTAAAACCATGCTTTTATTCATGAATTGCCACAAATAGTCTCTTTGAGGAATTGAGTTATATGAATGATTAGGCAAAATAGAGATTATAAACTTTTTGTTTATCAGTAAAATAGAGATTATAAACTTTTTGTTTATCAGTAAAATAGAGATTATAAACTTTATTTTTAGAACAAAAGAGAAGAACGCCAAGGTTTTTAAAACCAAACCGGACAACAAACCGGTCAAGGGTCCGATTCCCAAGTCGAACGGTCCAACCACTCAAACCAAACGAATGGTCCATTCTGACAAAAAAATAAAAAAATAAAATAAAAAGACTAAACTGTTGGATGGTTTGAACGGTTTGACCACCCGGGTCAGCAATTTGCTGACCAAATCAATAGTTTTGGCGAAATAACAGTTCTAGAGTAAAACAGAACCAATTACCTGACCGGTTCCAAGTTTTTCCGATCCAACCATCCGGTCCAATCCAATTTTGCCCGTTGTCTATTAAGAAGTTTAGCACATTTATTAGGAACATTCTTGTTACAACCAAAAAAAAAAACTAGAGAGTTTCATTAAAAAACCTTGGTTTTACAAAATAATAAAATATCATTAAACAAACATATGACCAACTTTTGGAGCACTCCTATAGAGAGTCAGAGATAACTACCATGAATAAGATCCTGACTTTCCAATAGTAAACCAAAAAAACTAGAGATTCCCATATCAAGAATAAACAAGTTGCTTTTGCCATAACATCCCATCAAGTTACTTCTTTTTTTCTAAAAATTGTCAATAAGTATTTCTAATTTTTTCACCAATAACCAAGGAATATGTACTAGAGATAAGATTGTTTAGAATAAAATCTTCCCGGTTCCCATTCATATTTGTTATAATCATCAATTGAATTGTGAATGAAATCAATCAATTATTTCCCTAATATGATATCAGATTAGCTCTAACAAGTGTCAAGCATCTTGTCATCCACAGGGTCTGGTTCTTTTGAGTTTTCACTTCTTACATTTAAATTCATTGTTGATTTCTTGAATACCCCACATAGCCCTATCACATCCGCCAAGCTTCTGTTTGTGGCAATCTCTTTTTATCACTTTTTTCCTTCTGCATTTTTCACAAGTAGATTGTATGCACTACTACTCAATGTTATTCTGATCTTCGGAGCAGAGCATGACGTGGTTTGAACATGATATCCAACAGATCATGGAGCGGGTTCTCAGTTCTCTTCACATTATCCGCTACCATCTTGTAAGCAGCTGATGCCAATCACATTTGAGGATGAATTTCCATGGCCGCCTTCCCCTTCACTTGGTTACCTTTCCTTTAAATTTTCAATAAGAATAAATTCTCCGTTGAGATTTCAGTATTGCAGATTGTTGCTACTTGTTAGCCCAAGGCAAACGCCAAGTCCAGCCTGTCCAGCAACAATTTTAATTGAGCTTTCGTTATCATAGATACACACCATCTTCATTATGCTTCTACTTCATTATGCACTGCTGTTCCCACTGCCACCATTATACTGTTGCAGCTCCCACCACCACCTTTACCGTGCTAAAAAGAAAAAGTGGTTTTGGACCTCCAAGGCCCATTTTTTTTCAAAATAGCTACTTGCAAACATAAAACCTAAATGGAGTTTTTCCTGCTTTTTCAAACAATCTTTTTTATGCAAAATGCCCATCCAGCTTTTCTGCCAGACTATTTTTTACCTGTCATCTTGGATTGTCCCAGCAGTAAAAGGCAAATTCATGGTGTATCTTTACTCCCCGTTCTGGGTATACACGGAATGGAGCAATGTAATAATTGTACAAGGTAATCCATGTTATTACATCAGGCTTAAGTCAAAACAAATTATCAATTGACTCCAAATAAATATTCGAAGTATCGACAATCCTGAAGGCCAATACATATCGGTCCAGAATGCACGGATGCATTGCAAAATTTTGAACCTTGATTAAGATTATATTTATCTTAATGTTCTATTTTATACTGTAATAACTAATTGAATTGTACTGCAATCAACTAATACATTCTCTAATAGATCCCACCCAAGATCAACCTGAATATATGACCAATCACATTTGACAGATCAAATTCAAATAACCTACTTGCAACAAAGCTTCAAGATGATGGTGATGATGAAGTTGATAAAAATTCTCAACACCATTAACTCACATGACCACAAAGGCAGATAAGCTTTTCAATACAATTCAAAATGGTTTTGAAGGCCAAACATCCTCTAAATCACAAAATATGCAAAATGTTACAGGAAAATGAGATAGTAAAGGACTAATTCTACCTAGCTATAAAAACCCTTGGTATAAGAAATATTATCAGGGGATCTTTAGAATAATAAATATTATCAGGGGAAGACAATATTTGTGGCATTAGGAACCAAAAGAAATTGATTAGAATCCTGAAGTTACTTTACAAGTAAGGGCAGAACATTCACTCAGTTATTTGATTCTAGTTGACAAGAGTGAAATACTCCAGGTGACCCAAAACATTTTCAATAGATACAAAATACCATGACATCTTCAATTCTGTAGGATGTTGACCAAGCAATTCACAAGTCCACAGTAGCCCTATGCCATGAGAAACGATTACCAAGTGAAGATATTGGGTTATACAACTGCAATCCATATATATAAAAAACAGGAGAGAGAGAGAGAGAGAGAGATTACAATTCAAAGCTATCTAAGCTCTCCCTGCTGTAATCGCTGGTGCTCTCAAAACCGTCAGAGTTTCTCCAGTAATTATATTGTTCATAATTCTTGGTACATTAAAACCAGAAAAATAGTTAGAAACTGATGTTTTAGTTAAAATATGGCTAAAAAGTGAAAGACTAATCAGTTTATAAGACCGAGAACTGCTAATTGATTATGGGAATTGCACAAACCAGATCATACTTCCCAACCATTGCTGAATCTGCCTCATCATCCACCTGAAGACAACCATAATATCACCATTCAACTACTTGAGGGTATATTAAGTGAAAACTTACTAACATTTTCTTTAAAGGAATATATTGAAATGAGCAACATAGAAAGGAAGGTGAGGAATCACAGAGAATTATTTTTTAAGAAATGGGGAGGAGTCAATACAATTTTTACCAGTGATGAAGTTTTAAATATTTAAAAAGAAATTCTCAACCAAGGAAAAATCATGATACCAATTTATCAAAAAAAATCACGATACCATTTGTTATTTATACAATTCCAATGCCAAAAAAGAGATATCAAATGGTAACTTGATTAAGGATTAGATCACAATAATAGAATCAGGGAGAAATATGCACATCCAGCCCAAACCCAAAAGACTATAAATTCCTTAAAAGATTCTACTAATTCTTTCACACCAAACTGCCCATAAGACTGCTGTGGGGAGGATGCTCCAAGCTACTTTTCCATCCTTGCTTAACCCTCTTAAAAACCAAGCACCTATGAATCCCTTAACATCAGCCAGGAAGCACATTTTAACTCCAACAGTCTTCCCAAATCCAGTGAACAAACTCAAAATGCAGCAACAGAAGACCAGAAGATTCCACATTTCCATTACACAATGTGCAAGCCACATCCACCACCTCTTACCTCTTCTGACTAAATTATCCCTAGCCAGAATCTTATCAAGCACCAAAGACCAAACAAAGCAATATGCAAAACTATTAGATCATTTTGAAAAAAAAAAGAAAAGAAAAAGGAAAAGAAGAGGAAGAAAAGGGAAAAATATTAAATAGCACTGTTCATACTTCATAGAGAGTGAAATGCCACTCCTTTATAAAACTGCTATGGCACATGACAAAATAAGCATAAACCCATTTAATAGATAAGAAGTATGGCCACTTAAGAGACAAATACTACATCTATTGCATAAAAAAATAAAGATCCCTGACTTGATTATGTATGAGTATAGAAACATAAGATATGCTCCACACTCGTATGCCACAAAGTACCCGTGCATAATAAATGATTGGTATTTGTTTCCACTTTATATTAGGTGACTCAAGGTGAGATGTGTTCCCTGGAAACCCCAAAACCAAATAACAATACCGATATTTGGCATTTTGTCCCAACACTTGTAACATTGTTGATTATGCTCCAATCTTAATTGACTACAAAAGGTGGGTAGTCCTCAAGTTGAAATCTGCCACAACCATTATGGCAGGACACATGTAAAACCTAATATATTAGGATTCAGAACAGATTCATGACCCAACCTTCCTTTGCTTCCAAATTAAAACACCACATGATTCTTTGCTAGGTAGGATGCTAACATGCCCAAATACAATTGAGCCTTCACAAGTATATCCTGAAATGGTGGTTGCAATATATGTGAATTCATATCTATCCCTCTTAGAAATGTGTAACAAGAAAAAGACATCCAAGGATGTTCCATTGCTTTTAGATTTCCTATCTAATATTATTTATTTAGAACCATTACTTCATGCCATTACTTCTACCAGATACAAGTGACATATGAACATCTGGCAACTGTGCCAAACAGGCAAACACCAAGGTAAAACAGGGGCAAACTGTATAATATAACAAGATTGTATTGATATATTGCAGTATTTAGCATCAATGTAGTGCAATGAAGGTGTTAGGAAGCTCATTAATAGCACCATTTAATCATTGCAAAAAGAGAGAAGCAACCTCTCTTGGGATGTCCTGTATAACATTGAAATTGACCGACTTATTATTAGGATGAAAAAACAGTTGTGGTTCTTACTCCACTGGATGTATCATTGATTTCTTTGAGCAACGTTTTCTCGTAAGCCAAATTCACCTCTTCAGCTTGGACAATAAATTGATGTCTGTCCTGAGAATTCCAAGGGAAAACAAATTAGAATGAGTCTTTGATAAATTAATTTGGGCGGCATGTGCATAAATTTCAGATGCAACCCCCACCTTTGTCGACATGTTCTTCCATGACTCAAATCCTTTACGATCGATATTAATCCAATCTTCGTTTGCATGGAGTCTTTTGAAGCTTTCCCTGTAAAATTAGCTCAAGGATACATGTACTCATTCTTGTATGCTCTTCGTTTAAATGTGACACGGCACTGTAGTTTCTCTTCTACTCTAAGAAGAGTCAGATATGAAAGAATATAAAACAGATACAGGGAGGTTTTGGTCACATTTCAATACATATGCACATAAGTGCAGGCATGCGGGCACACATGCAAACATTTATCATATAAGTAATCAATGGGCAAGAAGTCAAATAATACTAAAACCATCTACCATTAATATAAATTTGGGAGAATTAAAAATTAAAGAAACAAGAGATTATACATGAAGACGCAGAATGGCGATCTGGGTTGGTTGTCAATGATCAGTTTTACAGGGTTCTGATTTCTACATGCGCCTTTCAATTTCTCGTATTCCTTTTTCAATGTGCACTCGTGCATGTCGGATAGAGCGACTGGTACTGAAACTCCGCAGAAATTACTGTAAAAAAATGAAAGCAGTAAGTGTTAAAAGTCGACTGGAGTCGATTAATATGAAGGAAAGAATATGGGTTTTCGATAAATATGAGCAGTAACGAAAAAGGTAAAAACAAAGGAGAAAACAGGCGTAGAATAGAGAAGATATTAAAAAAATAATAATAACAGATACGATTTCTCGAAGGAAACTGTGTAAGCAGGAAAATAGATACCATTTCTCGAAGGCGCTTCCGTCGGGCGCACGCCGCATAGCATGGACCCTCTTCCGTGTTCTAAGTGGATTCGCCATTCCAGCTCTAACTGGAGCTCTGTTACTCTATCAGTTTCTTTGTTTGTCTACTACCCCACGCCCTGTAACTCTGTCGTCTCTAGCTGGAATTGTAACTTATTCGAACTCCCCTTCCCTCAAATTCTTTTTCATTGATAAATCGAATCTTTCTTGCCTAAATGCGCTGCTACGTAGCGTGGAGTTGTTAACAGAAATAGTGAGCGATTGCCTGAGTAAAGTAATGGAAGCATTTTATTAGCATCAAATTGATTGATGATGATTCCGTTAAGCATTCGAGTTAGGCCCATCTTATACCAAATACCAACAAAAGCGGAAGAAGGAAAAATGACAATGAGCAAATAAAAATAACCTGCACTCTCTATGAAACTGGAGCCAGCATTCTTTGCGCAGGAAAATATGAAACCGTGGAGTATGAACTATGAACTATGAAGCGCTCTGCGCCTCTGCATTGAACATTGACGATGAGAAACTGAACAGTCTACGCGACTACGCATATTAAAAGCTCCAGCCAAATTTCCAAAACGAGTAGCGAATTTTTTCAACTGGAATAATGAAGCCCGCGCTGTGGTCGAAAATTAAGCGGGCCGCACGATAGCCAACAGAGAGATCAGATCGGCGCCCCTACGGAAAAGTACGGACAGGCCCACTGCACAATTCTAATTTCCATTGCAGAGTTACAACATTAAAAAATGTCAATATTTCTACAATGCCCGCCCGTAAATTGACATCAATTCCGATCTGATATCTACTCAATTAGACCTGGCGATCGGGTTGTGCGGGTCAAGTTCTTTTTGGGTCAGGACCCTTCGAGTTGAATTTTGGGTTGGGTTATCAAGTGTTAGACTCTAACTTAAATGTTTGGATTAAGGTTGACCCATTGGTCAATTTTAGTCATTCTAAAATATAACTGAAATTTAAAAAATTAAAGAAAACTGTATAAAAAATGTCAAAATTAAAGGAATTAACCTTAAAATTTTATATATAAAATAAAAAAACTTGAATATTTAACAATTTAAATAATAAACAATAAAGAGTAAAGACTAAATAGAAAAACTTAAAGAGTGGAAACTCCCAAATAGACTTGGCAATCAGGTCAACTGGCTGACCCATGATCCAACCCAACCCTGTTTTTCATGTTGGGTTGGGTCAACTTTTTGCCAAGTCTAACCCCAACTGTACTCTCTGGGCTAAACCATCATTCTCCCTAAAACCTACCACCGATGTATTGGAAACATCTCCCTTCCCATGATAAAAAGTAGTGAAACGACGGGTTGGAGTTTGAGTTGATATTGGACACATTTCAGCACCTAATTGGGCAGTTCATTGTCCATATTTAGTTAAATTGATGAAACCTCCATTGTATTTTCTGATAGTTTCTATTAAGTACCTTGCTTTATAAATATTATCCGATTCTCCCCTCAAATTTTATGGCATTACTAATGAGGATTATTGCGATGTACGGGAAAATCTGAAAGATTTAATAAATTTATTTACTATTAATTAATATTAAATTAATAATCAATATTTGTTGTTAATTAACTACAAGTATTCGAAGTTATTGTTGATATCTAAAATTTTAAAATGATTGTGATTTTATTAATATGAGTTTTTTTAGATTTTTATTGCACATTGTATATGTTGAGATATGTGAAAAATAATATGAATAAAAACTGTGCTGAGAAAATGTGAATTATAATACGCTGAAATATTTGAATAATAATATGTTGATGTGGCGAATTTCCCTTTAAATGTATAATATAATGTGTGGAAATCATTGTTTTATATGTGTGGGTGAAATGAGGGTTAAATTTGTCATTTACACTAAAATAAACACTTGTGAGAAAAGTAACTCACCAAACATCCCCACCCCAATAAGGAACAATGTTTAGTTAAACACTTTAGCTATTCAATGGGGTGTGAAACCAATGATAAGGTTCTACACCAGTATTTAAATACATGGGGCCCACATCTTTATAGTGAGGCCCATGATTTTATTACCGGCGTGGAACTTCATCATTGGTTCCACAACCTGTTGAACAGTTAAAGCGTTCTACTAATCTGAATTCTCCAATAAATACTTGAAAAAATCAATAAATAATTTAACAAATAAATCACCAAATAATATTAAATAATTAATAAAATTAATATTTACAATAAATACTTATACAATAAGTATTTATTTTAACAACTACTTAATCACTAAATATAACCATCAACATATAAGTGCAGAATTTTCAGACTACACAAAAATGATAACGATGGCGTGTTATAAAGGGACAGCCAAAATAGTCCTACGGCACATAAAACATGTGAGAGGGACCATATGAAAAACAAAGTGATATTAAGCGGGGAGATTAGAGCCGACCACAACATTAAGACCAAAAGTGATATGAAACTTGGTAAAGGGAACCAGGAGTAGGAGACTAGAGCCGACCACAATATTAAGATCAACTTTTATAAATATTATTACAACTAATTGCTCAAGCATGAATCATGGGCTTTTGGAAGTTTGTATTCAATTTTCATACTTCTGGAGTTTGGGTCAAATTTTTACGGACAATAATAGTATAGGTTATGATGTCCATCAGGCAATAGTGTCAGTGTCACAGTGTATGTGGTGCTCGTCTGCTTGACGGGTGAAAAGTGGGAACGCGCGTTCGAGCATTTTTTAGTCTTGCATTCGAAATATTTATAGGGGTGTTCAAGAAAAATCGAAAAATTAAATTGAATCGAAAAAATCGAATCAGAAAATGTGGTTAATTAAATTGATCGGTTTAGTTTTAGTTTAGTATTTTTGAAAATTTAAAGGATTAATTCGATTTTCAATTAATCTATAAAAAATTGACGATTAATCGAACCGACTGATATCATATATTATATATAAATATATATTCATTAGATATAAATATATATTATATTTATAATAATCTATTTATAAATATATTATATACATTATATATTTTTATAATATTTATAATATATCATATATCATTTATTATTTATTATATAATATTATACATATATTTATATAATATATTATAAATATAAAAAGTCAAAAAACTGAAGAATTGAATCAGTCAAAACCAAAATTGATGAACCGATTAACCAGTGGTACCTTGAGTTTGAGAAAATGAAAAAATCAGTTATATTAATTCGGTTTATAAAAGCTATTCATGGTTAGGTTAATACTGTTAAATATTTATTTATTCATGTATTTTATTTTATGGGGAGATATTCCTGATATAAGATTGTAATAGGCCGTTGGAATGGTGCTCTGACCGAAATCCATCTACCCAGATAACATCACAATCATATATGGAGAACATTTCATATATGATTGTTCTTACTTCACGGGGTAGTGTGATGCGGGTACTGGCATTCGTAGAAAGAGTTATCGTGGGTACGAGATCGGAGTCTTTATTGTTAACTGGACCCATGCACCCGCCAAATCCCGAAAATCAATCCAAATCGGACGGCTGCTTGTCGTTACTTAAAACGACGCTGTTTCAATCCTCCCCCAGGATCTTTGCAAGCTGCAACAATCGATCACACCGAGGCGAGGAGGAGCAGATTGAAATGACCAATCCACCCAAAAGTTTCACAAGTTAAAATTAGGTAGGCCTTCACCTCACCCAATCTCTGGATATGGAATATGAAAGGGCTAGAGCTGGTTTCTTCCAACTCCACTCGGCAATAAGGGCATACGCAAAAATCGTTGGTAATGGCATTGATGGATTCTTTCAAGTTTCAGCCTATCTTAAATTCCTGATTCTATTCCCAACCGTGAAAGTTGAAACCCTACTTCCAGGTATGCAACTCTGGTTCAATCTCTGCACCGGAACCTTAGAACTTAGGAACGCACATCATCGTTTTCTGATCTGGGTTTAGCATACCTTATCGTATGGTCAGCACTAAAACATCCGAAATACACTCTTAGGGTTCAAACTTCAAGCTATCAATTTAATTTAATATGTTCGTTTTCATATGTGCATCATTCTAATTAAATTTATATCCAGTGCTTCTGTTTAATAGACGATCGTCCGTTTCATGATCCACCAAGCATTTAACTGATAGCTGATCCAGTCACTATAGACTTTTCATGTCAATTTGAAGGTTCAAGATCAAACCCATGTTAGATTTCTTCGGATTCTGGTCAAGGACAAGTGGACTGAGGTTGTTTGTCTGTGCTAGCTTTACAAAACATTACTTAAAGTTTCTGTAAGTTGGGATTTCGCGAAAGATGGTTGGGAGTCCATGGGTTCAGGTTTCAACTTGCCACACTGCGCTGCGTTCTCCGTTAATTAGTCTCCCCAGTGATTCCCGGAATTTTATGCCTTGTCTTCCAGCCAGACCATCGAAGAAACTGGTCCAGATTCGAGCAAGTTCACCCAACACTGGGCAGAGTCCGCCACCATCGTCTCCAAAAGCAAGAAATCCACTAGCAGTTATTTCGGGCATTCCCAGGAATATCTGGAGGCAAACTTTGCGTCCTCTGAGTGATTTTGGGTTCGGCAACAGGAGCATCTGGGAGGGAGGAGTTGGTCTCTTCATCGTTTCAGGGGCAGTGCTCTTTGCACTTAGTTTGGTTTGGCTAAGGGGTTTCTATTTACGATCACGATTGAGGAAGTATCAGGCAGTGTTTGAGTTTGCTCAGGCTTGCGGTATCTGCATGGGAACACCGGTGAGGATCAGGGGAGTGACTGTTGGGAATGTAATTCGCATCAATCCTTCCTTGAAAAGCATTGAAGCAGTTGTTGAGGTACGGTATAATGCTCCACTTTTCTATTTTTCTCCCATTCAAACCTTTTCAATTGAGATGGGAAACAATTTGGTGTTCAGGATAGTTCTAGTTAGCTATGTCATAACGACCCATCTTTCAATGATCAAGGCTAGGCACGCTTGTTGATATTGCTTATCATCAAATCAATAAATTATTTCTTCATCACACATATCTCTGTATTTCCTATGATAGCTTCAGCTAACCATTTGATGGGTAATGGTTTGTGAAAGGCTGATGATTCTCAGATGGTTATGATTGAATACTGAATAGTTTTCATTTGAGCCAGATTCAGAACAAGAGGCAAACTATTGATTATGTAGACCTTACAATGAACAGCAGTACTGTGATCATGACCTGAAACATAGCATCCCGACAAATTTATATAAATTATAAGCACTGTGCATAGTGTGGTTGAATTTAAGATTTAGAGGCTGATGGTTAAGTTTTCATGTTGGTCTTAGTAAATGGTTGGATATTTTCTTAAATGTATTTTTGCTTAACATAACATCTCAACAAGATCTGGCTGTGTGCAGTTGATGGAAAATGATTATTGTTCCCAATTCCCATTGTTCAGATAAAGTTAAGATTATGTTGATGATAACACCAGATGGAGCATTTCCACATGAACCATTTTCCTGTTTGATACTAAAATGTTCTTCTAAAGAATTGTTGTTAGATACTGGCTTGTGCCAATTATCTATGATTGCAACTCATATTATGATTAAGCATGTGTAAGCTGGCATACCCATAATAAGTGATGTTCTGAACATGCAAGAATTTGATAAGATATTAACAATTTCTATCACTTTTCCCCTCAATTTTGTAGGTTGAAGATGATAAAGTAATCATACCTAGGAATTCATTAATAGAGGTGAACCAGTCTGGACTTCTTATGGAGACTCTGATTGATATCACACCTCGGGATCCACTTCCAACACCTTCAGTGGGTCCTCTTGATCCAGAATGTGTTAAAGAAGGTCTAATTGTATGTGACAGTCAAAAGATAAGGGGACATCAAGGAGTAAGTTTGGATGCATTAGTTGGGATATTCACCCGTCTTGGACGTGAAATGGAAGAAATAGGTGTTTCCAACAGCTATAAGTTAGCTGAGCGGGTTGCATCTGTTATTCAAGAAGCACAACCTCTGCTTGCAAAGGTCCGCATGGGTCATCAGATATTTTGGTTTCATCTAATAATATGTATTTTTGAATTCTATCATCTTCTAATTACTCTGTAGACAAGTTGGTAACATGTTGTAGTTTTTATTTGTTCATTTGTTTATTGGTTTCTCTGGCAATATGGGACTTTTTGGCATGGAAAAAGAAAATATAAAGAGTTCTGGACCATCTTAATATGCATATATGTGTCTGTGCATATTTTCATACTTGTCTTGTTTGAAGGTGTTTGAAGAGTACCTAAACTTTTCTGAGGGAGCTCTTGAGTTGCTGTTTCCTAGTGTGAGAGGTCCATGTTGGTCTAGTGTCCCTGCTTGGGTAGGTTGGATGTTTGTACTTCATAATGCCTTTGGATTAATAAATAGGGATTAGGATTGGCATAAGAATGAGAGAAATTGGCACAGCAGGGTACTGTTATTAAAATCAGACCTTAAAATGGGGAAACTAGGGCCTAGATAAGGTTGGCTGATGGGTGTTATATAGGGTTAAGGGAAATTGGAACAGAAGGGCGCTGTTATTAAAACCAGACCTTAAAATAGGAAAAATGGGCTGGCTGGTGGAAGTTATTAAGGATAAAAGGAACCTAAAGATTTTCTAGTTGTGGTTGGATAGGGTTTCTAGTAGGCCTTTAGAGATGAGAAGTGAAATCTGGCTTGATGCATTGGGAATTGACAGTGTCCAGAAATGTAAACCAGCAGCTTACAAGTACCCTTCAGTATAAGGAATTAGTTGGTTAATTACCTATGCCAAATTTAAAGGAGTGTTGTTATTCTCTTAAGAATGATGATTCTAGGTTGACCATATGGTTAGTTGCCAAAAATAATAAAAAATTACCTTTCTCTGTAGAGAGACATGCACTTCTTGACATTTTAAGGGACTAATGCTCTTTCTCTCTCTCTAACATGTTAGAGGGCATCACGGTGTTCTCTAACTATTTCTCTTAGTATTTTGAGTGAACTGGGTTCCAAGTTATCTCCAATTTTCTAGCCATGGTAATGCAACACAAGTGCAATGTAGTATAATCATACTTGATCCTGTTTTTAAAATATTTATGATGGCATTAATTTCATATGTGATCAAACTTAGAGGACTTCTATAAGTTTATTATTGTTACTTGATAATGTTATTTTAGAATTATTGTTCTTTATTATGGTTGTTGAAACTTTTTTTGTGGATTTTTTTTGTTGTTCTTTATGACTGCGGAACCATTGGTATTCTATCATTGTATTTATTAGTATGCTTCAGTAAAACTTAAATATCTGCTAAGGATTCAGTAGGATGACACCAAGATTCTTTATAGGCTGCATTTAATGCATGCTCTTGCAAGACTGTTTGATGTTTTGATGCCTCAGGTTGAAGCCATGACTGAAGATATTCAACCTCTGCTGGCTGATGTTCGTAGCAGTGGGCTGCTGAAGGAGGTTGAGAGTTTGACCAAAAGCTTGACAGAAGCAGCTGAAGATTTGAGGTAAACTTTCTAACTTCTAATCTGTTTGTGGGATAATTTATGCATATTTGTAGATTGTGCTTTAGCAATATCCTGGTCGTGTTAGGCGTGCTAATATACTAACATTTGTTATTTTGTATTGTTAATAGAAAAAATAAGCATTTTTTTCATTGTTATAGAATATTGTAAACATTTCTAGACATTGAAAAGTTTAGAAATCAAGACATGCTATCAGATTTGGTTTGAATGGCGCCTCTCCTCTTCACCCCTATCCCCCGTCAGAAAAAAAATATTAAAATCAATTCAAAAAAGAAAAAGAAAAAGAAAGTTCAAGTCTCCCCAAATTTTGCAAGTTTTGGTTCTCCATGTGGTACAGACATGGAATAGAGATGTAGAAAAATTTGCCCACATGGTTCTGAAGTGTTGGTTCAATGTGAGGTTCTCCTGCTTTTAATTTTTTTTTGTTATTTTTATAAGTTTATCTTTTTGACCTTTCAGATTTCTCACCTGTTTTATTTGCTTTTAGGCATTTTCATTCTTTTAAGATTTATTATTTATTTCATAAAAATGTTTCTGATATATATATAATATCTTTGCTGTCAGAATATTTTATAAAATTTATAAAATGGAAGGAAGCAAGTTAATGGTTAATGTATTTCAGTAATGGTTTTTTGGTTGATAAAAAGCATGTCATCAATATGATATCCAGTCAGTGAAGGTTGATAAAAAGCATGCCCATAGTGATGTGTAAGGAGGAAATAAGAGGAGAAGGACCTACCCCCTTTAGGTTTGAGAATATGTGGCTGGTCCATCCGGGCTTCATTGAGAAAATCAGAGAATGGTGGGAGCAATGTAAATCCGTCAGTAAAATGGGAGGGTATGGAATTCTACAAGAAGCTTCAATTCCTAAAATCCCAGATAAAGGAGTGGAACCGTCTGGAGTTTGGAAGATTGGAGGAGAGAAAGCAAATCTTGTTGGAGCAGATAGAGGAATTGGATTTGAAGGAAGAAAGGGGATCTTTTGGAGAGGAAGACAAGGAGTTGAGATGGAGTGTGAGGGAGGCAGATGGAAGATCTCTTGTTTCAGGAGGAAATAAGCTAGAAACAAAAATCCAGACGTAGATGGTTAAAGGAGGGAGATAGAAACACGAGGTTTTTCCATTCTGTGACAAATGGTAGGAGAAGGAAGAATTTCATTTCAAAATTGGAAGTTGAAGGTGCAGTCATATCCCACCCATTAGGCATTGTAGAGGCCTTTGTAAATCATTTTAAAGCTATTTTTAGAAGGCCTGTAAATGAGAGGGTTTGGCTGGAGCGGCTGGATCGGCCAACTCTAAGTGTAGTGGACAGGGAGGGGTTAGAGAAGAATTTTGATCTAGAGGAAATAAAGGAAGCAGTGTTCTCAATGGATAAGACAAAAGCTCCAGGCGCAGATGGGTTCACAATGGCATTCTATTAGGATTGTTGGGATATTGTGAAGCAGGATATAGTGTTGGTTTTTGAGGAGTTTCACAGAAGGGGAATAATTAATCGGGGTCTAAAGTCTAAACTCCAATACTCCACTTTCATTGCTTTGGTCCCAAAGAAGAAAGAGGCTTCACAACCAAGGGATTTTAGACCTATCAGCTTGGTGAATAGTCTATACAAGATAATTGCAAAATTGTTGTCTCTAAGGATAAAGCAAGTTCTTCCCACCATTATTACACCCAACCAAGGAGCTTTTGTGAAGGGAAGGCAGATCATTGATCAATTTTTGATTGCAAATGAGAGTTTTAGGAAATCCAAGAAGAAGGGTGTGGTATGCAAATTAGACTTAGAGAAGGCTTATGACCTAGTTGATTGGTCCTTCTTGGTGGAGGTGATGAGATGTTTTGGCTTTGGAGACATATGATGTAAATGGATTTGGAGTTGTGTTAGGAGCTGCCACTATTCTATCTTGGTGAATGGAATTGTGAGGGATTCCTTTCCTACCTTGAGAGGAATAAGACAAGGAGATCCACTTTCTCCCTTTCTATTCACTTTGATTGCAGATGTTTTAGGGAGATTGATTCATAGAGCTTACTTGACGAACGTAATAAAAGGACGAAGAGTAGGAAGGGAGCAAGTACCACTTACACACTTACAATTTGCAGATGACACAATACTGTTTTGTGAAGGTGGGGACATAAATTGGATAGGGAACTTAAAATTGGCAATACAACTCTTTGAGCTCTCAAAGTGAACTTTGATAAGAGTTGCATGGTGGGAGTGAATTTAGAGGAGAGGGAAGTAAGTGAATATGCAGGTTTGTTAGGGTGTGTAATTTCAGATTGGCCTTTGTTTTACTTGGGCCTCCCCTTAGGAGATAACCCCATGAAGGAAAGCTTTTGGAACCCGGTATTGGAAAGATTTGAGAAAAGGCTTGCTTCCTGGAAGAAAAGTTCTCTCACTAGGGGGGAGAATCACTTTGATTAGGTCTACCCTAGCTAACCTTCTTGTTTACTTTTTGTCAGTGTTTAAGATTCCCACAAAGGTCTCTAATAGGGTGGAAAAGTTAATGAGGGATTTTTTGTGGGAACTAGGAGAGGAGAAGAAAGATCACAGGGTGAGTTGGGAGGTTGTAACTAGAAATAAGAAGCTAAGAGGGCTCGGGATTGGGAATATTAGGAAAAGAAATATGGCTTTGTTGGGGAAATGGTTGTGGAGGTTTCCAATGGAAAGGGACACATTATGGACAAAGATAGTGGCTAGCATACATGGGTTGGAAGACAACGACTGGGATCCAAGAATTATGGCAAGGGCTACAGTTGCTTCCCTTTGGAAAGCCATTCATGATTTGCTTCTGGTTTTCTCCCCTTGGATCAGGTATGATTTGAACTTTGGTAATCGAATAAAATTTCGGGAGCAACCTTGGGTTGGGGATTCATCCCTAATGGACCAATTTCCCTCTTTGTATGCCTTGTCAGGTTTGAAAAATGAACCCATTTCCTCTTAGTTCCTTCAGAATCTACTTCTGGTTTTGGGTGGAACCTAGGGTTGAGAAGGACAATTAGGGATACAAACTTGGGTTGTATTTCGTCTATGCTAGCCATCCTTGAAAATGTTTTCCTGGACCCGAGTAAGGAAGACTCTAGATTTTGGACCCCCTCCTCCTCTGGCTCCTTTTCTTGTGCGTCGTTTTTTGAGACTTTGATCCAACCTCCTGTTCCTTTTGGGTTGTCCTTCCCTGTTAAAGAGATTTGGAGCAAACCCATTCCTCCTCGGATTGGTAGTTTTTGTTGGGAAACTTTCCTGGAAAGAATAAACACAAATGATTTGCTTCAAATAAAGAGACCCAATTTCTATTTACTTCCCAATAGGTGTGTTCTTTGCAAAGCTGATGGGGAAACAGGTTACCACCTTATGGTTACTTGTCTGGTTACTAAAACTGTTTGGGAGTGGATTTTTTCTCTTTTTGGGTGTACTTAGAATCCCCCCTGTAAGTGTGCAAAGCTTGTTCTATCCCTTGTTCTCAATATGGCCTAAGAAAAGAGGGAAGGCGAGAAGCATTAGGGCGGCAATGTGCTGGTCCATATGGGAAGAGAGAAACTCACGAATTTTTTCAGACAAGGAAAGAACCATGGAAAACTTAATTGAACTGATACACTTAAGGGTAGCTCACTGGCTGAAATCTATGGAGCTATTCTCAAAATTTTCCATGGCTGACATATTGAGAAAGTGGAAAGAAATAGCTACATCTGCCCAATGTAAGAGGACCTCCAGGCCCTCTTGGTCCCCCCCCCCCCCTTCTGGATTCATAAAACTGAATTTTGATGGTAGTAGCTTAAGGAATCTTGGGCCTTTTGGGATTGGGGGAGTGTTCAGGAATGAGGCTGGGATTATTAATGCTATTTTCTTAGGTTCAATTGGAGAGGGTGACTCTCTTAGGGCTGAGATTCTAGCAGTTCTGGAAGGAGGAATCCAAAGAGCAAGAGAATTAAACATCCGATGCTTGGTCATTGAAGGGGACTCGGAGGTGGTGATTAGGTGGCTGAAGGAAGACARCAATGGTTTGTGGAGCTACAGMAATGAAAAGAAAAAATTTAAATGGCTGAGTAGGGATATTGAGGTGAAGTACAGCTGGGGGAAGAGAAGTGCTAACTCAATGGCTGATGGGTTAGCCAAGCAAGGGGCGCTTAAGGAATCTATGTTTTGGGCTAATTTTTAGCTTTCTTCTTTGTTCCTTTGTTGTGGGGGAGTTAAGATAATTTACCTCCCCTTTCTTGTACTTAAAGTTTTACAAATCTTATTATTTAATAAAGCATATTGTTACTGATAAAAAGGAGGATTCTATTTTGTTTTAATCAGGATACTCAAAACATTTATTTATTTATTGTTTTTTAAGGCTTCATATCAATTTATTTGATGGGATAGTTAAACATGGATCTGCATTCAACATGCAATCAAAGGACTTTATTTGCTTATAAAAGACCACAGACTGTGTTTTGCAGCAGTAGTGCATGGAACAAATTTCTTGCAGCGCAGCACACAAGTCTTTTTGTTCATGCTTTTGGGAACACCAATATGTTGTATTACTGATGCAAGATGGGAAAGAGAAACTCTTACGAAGGAGAATCAGATCCGAGATGGGATAAAGGAAACTAAGAGGGTTTCAAATATGGGGTGCAGGAAAGGAGAAAAAGAAGAGATCATACCTTTATACTAGATTGTGGAGGAAATAAGGATACATCTCAATATAACTCATCTCAGATTCTTAGTCTATAATATTCTCTACTTGCTAATTTACAAAATTAATATTTATAGACCCTGGGAAGTAAAGTTGTACAGTCCAGTCTTCCTATTTCAGAGAAGACTCAGAAATTAGAAACTCTTAACTCGATCCTGTCACTCCCTGAGACACTGCCAATAAAATGACCATAACTTTCATTATTCACATTTGATTTACAAGATCTTGGTTTTGCTAGATGGGTCAGTGAAGAACAAAAACCATTCCAAAGACAACAAGTCAAGCAAAAACAGACATGCTTTGACACCTGAAAAATAGGTCAATAGAAAAAGTGATGTGATTGCATCCTCCTTCCTCCCTGCTTCTCAAAATTCTCTGACTCTCTAAAAAATAACCCTTTAAACTAATTTAACTCTTTAAGACGATTAGCCTTATTACTATTATATACTAATAGACAAAACAAGGGACATGGTTACATCTCAACACTTTCAAAATTCTAAGAACTCTCTAAAGAAACCCTTCAAACTAATTTTACTCTTTAAGACAATTAATCTTTCTAAGATGTAAACCCTTATTACTAAGATTTACATCTTACTAAGATGTAAACCCTAATTTTACCAAAAAAGCCCTTATTACTAAGATGTAAACTAGAAAATAACTTTTAGAAAGCTCAAATCGACCAAAATTCTGATTACCTGAAAGTTTCAAAATTGCCAGTGAACAAAAAAAAACCATGTGTGTTCATATATGCTGTAACTGCATCAACATTAGTCTTTGCATTCAAGTGTTATTGTTCGCTTGGTCTCTAGTTATATCCTGGTTAGATTATCTCTTCTATTAATTTGTTATTGCAGGAGGGTGCATTCCTCCATTATGACTCCTGAGAACACTGAGCTAATTCGGCAGTCTGTATACACCTTAATATTCACTCTGAAGAATATCGAGGTGAGACCTTGTCATAACTTTCTTATGGTCCTGTATATCGCAGGAAGCATGAAATTCAAAATAACTCTCTCTCTCTCTCTCTCTCTCTGTTGCAGAGTATAAGTTCTGACATATCAGGATTCACGGGTGACGAGGCTACAAGGCGGAATTTGAAGTTGCTAATCAAGTCCCTTAGCAGGCTACTATGAATAGATTTTTAAAAGGTGAATACGGAAGGGTGGAGTGTATGGTTTTATCCTCAGATTTTCTACCGGTTGGATCTTCTGTTTAGTAATCACCATTGTGGAGAAGGATAATGTTGCAGTTTAGTTGTTGAAACTTGCAACTTGTGGTTGTTTTGGGCCAAAGTTTTGGCTATCCATTTTTGGCCTTGGAAGCTAGTCTCTATTTTTAAAGTTTCAAGGCTTTTTAACGAGTTTGGAGACGGGGGAATTCGGTCATTTTTCTTTCTCTTCTCTTCTCTGTTAAACAAGCCAGTCTTACGGGTTTTCCTTTCCCCCTCATTACAAAAACGGGGTCATCCATTCCCATTGGTCAATTCCTCTACTCGTTCTGGCATGGCTTGTTGTTTTTTACAAGATTTTTTTTGTATTGTAGACACAAAAGGAATGGCAAAATATGGCAAGGCGGTAAGTTGGAAAGTAATTCCTGGTTGTGGAATGTGTGGATCCAGAATTACAGATGCATCCACCGACCTTCCACCATGAGTCCATGACGTGGAAACTTGTACCAACTACCAACAATTATTTGTCTTATTTTGGAGAGTTTGAGTGTTGGCATTCACAGTCACAGGTCACAGCAACAGTAACAGCACCGAAAGAGAAACTGTGTTTTCTTAGATGAAAATGGAATAAATCAATTCACATGGCACTGATTCTGGCATCCAAATGCCAAAGTGATATCAAGACAACTGTTGTTTCTTACTGTTTTAGTTATTCTTCTCTACTCCTAGGATCACCCTATGTTGTCTTCCGTTTCCGGAAGATATCAGGCACAATATCAGATCTTTCTATTCATTCATTAGAAAAAAAAGAGAGATTTCTAGCTTCTCTTTCTAAAAACTATAAAGCGGATTCAAGGTATGTACGCTGTCTTTACCTGATTGACAATGTCCCTGGTGACTGGTGAGACTAGAATTGCTTAGAGTAATGGCGCTGGCAAACCTTCTGCATCCTTTTATAGTAAAGACGTAGGACAATTTAAGACCATATTATTATATGGCTTGCATTGCATGAGAAGGGGCCGACGATTTATTAAGCCGATACCGATTTAGTTTATTCACATTTACATTTGCACTCTGTTTCATTTTGCTGGTGTTTTGTAAGAGTGTATTTATATTTTGAAAATGGCAGCAAATATAGATGTCAAGATATGTTGCATTTAAAATGAGAGCATAGATGTAAACTTTCTACTCAAAGTTACTAATCACAACTAAAAATTATTGGACAAGATTATTACAAAACTAAGCCAACTTTACATTTCAGGAACCAAATATATTTATAATAGGGTAAAATACAAAAACCTCCCCTGAACTTTCTGACAATCATAAAAATCTCCCTTATAATTTTACTTTAACAAAAACCTCCCTTCCGTCAATAATCATGATAGAGAACGTTAAGCCCATGATTAAATCTTTTCAAATACCTATTTTATCCTTTCATACGTTAATAATTTTCCTGGGCATTCATGTTTTTTACACGTCACGCATGCACGAACTTGAGATCTCACATGTGTGAAGTTATTATAACTTTATAAGGTGTGGTTGCCCTTGTCCTTTTATCCTATTTTCTCATTTTTGTTTTCAAATGAAAAATTTTAAATAATAAGTTAAAGAGTTTGGCTGCCACTCCAACGTGGATATAGGAAAAGCAAAGCAAAGGGAAAAACCTATTTAGGAAAAGCCCTAGTTCTTCTTTGTCAGTTAGGAAAAATTCCTACGTTGCAGAGGCTTGACCTATGTTTATCTCTTGACCTCAATAACCACTCTCTGGTGTTGTAGATAATTTCCGAGGTCTTGTGGGTCTTCGATTTAAACATTCATGGCTTTTACAGTTGAATGATTCAGACATTGGAAACGGCCATGAACAGTGGATTTGAAATAGAACCTTGATTCTTAACCACTTAAGCCCAAAAGCGTAAGGAGCTTAAGAAATTGGATTCATATTATGAGGATGTATTGTTCGGTAAAGATTTTGTTTCTATAAGACAAGAGGGATGCGGCAGTCGTACTGGTTTCTATGCTCAAAATCTGTAAACTTTCGGACATTCTATGGTGTTGTGGGTTGGGGTTGAGATGGTCTTTGTTTTGAGTTTCCCTACATTAAAGCAAGTTCTCTGCCTTGAGATTTGGGCATCCTAAAAATTCATGGAAAGTGTCTTTCCAATTCCAATTGATAAGATATTAAGATCTAAACAATGTTCAAAGTATCAACACGTATTCCGGGACCCCTTTGATACACCCCTACAGTGGGTGTATCGGGGTCTGACCGATTCAGGGTGTGGAGGAGGCCTAAACCGGCTCCTTTGAACCAATTGCAAAAAAAAAAAAGCTTCTTGGGCACCTTGGATCTAAAAACTCAACTCAACTTATTAAAGATTTTTCATAATTTCTCTTTCCACTCAAGCTTCTTGGTAGGATTTCTGTTCGGTTCCTGCCCCTACTGAAGAAGAAGAAGGAGAAGAAGAAGAAGAAGAAGAAAGGCACAGTCATGGAAGATGCATCAAACTCAGTGGCATATGTACAAGAAGAAGAAGCCAGGTCTAGCATCAAAAGAAAATCGTATATGTAGGGTTTGCAACAAGGGATTTAGCTTCGGATGAGCTCTAGGAGGTCACATGAGAGTCTACGGTCAGGCACAAGTCCAGGCCGACGATCTTGTGAGAACCAATAATCAGCCTCACTTCTCTAATATCAAACCTCACGAATCCATTAACAAGGATCAACTAAGCTATTGTTCTAATGGTGTAACAGCCAATCCAATGACCAAAACACCCTGTTCCCTCCATGAAGTCCTTGTTCGGTCACATGAGATGCCACCCTGAAAGACAATGGCGTGGTAGGCCAATTCCACTACTACGTCAGGTAGAACTACTTCAACTTTCGATGTATGCCAGATTCTTCCGAGCTGGTCTGTCACTGCAAAGCGAGGTCGCAAGAGTCTCGCTTCTGCTGTTTCTACTGCTCTAGTTCCCAAGGCCATCTATGATCTACTGTCTCTTTTGAACAAGTAAAACCACAGCGAACAAGCTGAAGCTGAGGTTACGGGCACACCAGATTTACCTCTATCGAAGAAGGGCAAAACCCAATGCTTTAATGGCGAAGATAAACAGTGTTCGAGGATCAGATACACATTCATTCGTAAAAAGGTAAAATAGGAATTTTGAAAAAAATAATCATCTTTTTAACGTTTTTCGTGATGGAAGGGAAGTATTTATTGAATTTTTCAAAAATGAAAGAGAGATTTTTGTTAAAATGAAACTACAAAAGAGATTTTTATGATTATCAGAAATTTCAGGAGAGGTTTTTTTATTTTACCCTTGATAATATACCGATAATTTTGTATTTGAATGAATCATAGAGTTGTGCGTATATGAATGAATGAGAAGGTGGGTGTGGGGTGTCCGTGTGGATGTGGTTGATGAATTAGATAGCCGGCAGCTTATGAAGAAGTTGTTTGGTAATTGGTGTAATGAGAAGGCCGCGCTCGTTCTGTGTACATTGACTGTGGTAAGAGAAGCGTGCCAGCTTCTTCCTGTTCATATGATCAATCAAGAATCATAATCACAGGTTTTGAGCCAAACGCAAACGCCACATTGAAAGTTGAAACAAATGCTGCCACGCAGGACGCAGCCCAGGTCGGTGTCGGACATACATAACTTGGAACTGTGCATGTCGTTGGCTTGGCTTCTCCTTCCTATTCTTCTCTGCTCTGGCACTCTGCTGTCTGTCTTATACTCTTAATGCTTTGCTACTTCCACACCACTACACATACGTCATGACGCGTATTTATCTCAATCACACTTGGAGGGCAACAGAAATGGCATTTGGCTCTTTTTTTCTTTTCCCCCCACCCCCTACATCTTCTGTCCTCTCTCCATCTATTTTGTCCGGATCGATCATAATTTAATTTCCTTGCAAGGGTGCTTTGGTATTTCTATTCTCTCATGGTTTCAGGTGCCTGTGCCTGTGCCTCCCAATAAACTAGAAAGACGAGAAGGCAAGGGAACTCTACTCTCTCTCTCACAAGCTTCTCTTTGTGTGTGCGTGGAGCTTAGAGTAGAGAGTAGAAAAGCCTAAACGTTTCGGTAGATATTGAAGAGCAAGATGGCGCATAACAGGTGTTCTGGTTCTCTAACATCCCCAAGAGTCGACGTTCTCGTCGATACGGGAAATACCTTCCTTGATCACACCGTCGATGGCTTCCTCAAGATCGGAGCTGTAAATCCTTTCCCCCTTCCCCACCTTTCTGAATTACTTTCTACATTTTAAACCATCTTTGTATCTTCTCATCAGATTTTCTGTATGCTTCGTGTTCGTAGGTGGCGGCCACGAGAGCAGCAGCGGAGGAGACCTTTCAATGCTTGGGAAGAGGTCATTTACCTTGCTCTTGCTTCTTCTTCTTCTTCTTCTTTTTGTTTATTTAAAATTAAAATATTCTTCTTGATTCTTGATGAATGCGTAGAATGTAGAGTGTAGACTGCATGCATGCGTTTGGAGTTTGGACAAGAGTTCAATGAATATGCTTGAAGGGTGCCTCTTTGTGGTATGCAAAAGTGACGAGAGAAAAAAATTTCCATCTCAATAATCCGGCCAACCAATAGATTTTGCCAAAATCTTCAATTTTTGCACAGCTATCAGGAAGAAAAAGGAAAAAAAAAATGCCAGCTGCCAGTGATTCTATAACATATGCATTATGCTTATGTGCAATCCTTTTTTCCCCCCTTGTTGCATTGCGGCTTGAATATGCATGTAGACGTCGTGGATTTGTTGTTACTTCATCCCACTAATTGCATAATCTTTGTTACAGGGGAATTTCCAAAACATAAACTTGAGGACACGGTAAGAATCCCCTGGCTCATGTCTGTTACTTGGTTTACTTAACTACATTTAATTATAATTTGTAGATTTACTGTCCAAGGTTGCAGCTGAAATGGTTCAACTTCCCAACTTGCAACCATGAGACCATGAATCCCTGCATAAGTCCATAGAAATAGAAAAGAGAAAAACATGAAATTGCCACAGTAAAGCTTGCGTTGGTTATATATATTTTACCAAGCTCAATCAATACAGGACAACCAACAACCATGAATGTAGATTGCAGGATATAGGGGATTTGGTAGAACAAGTTGGATCTTCTCATCCTCTTCCACCATCTCTTTCATGATTCTTTCTCTGGTTTAGAAATGATGCTAATGACTGTTTAGTTTAGGTTGTCGGTTGGCATCCCTTTCATTGAGGAGTTGCAGTTTCAAACCTGTGGAAAAACTGGCTCTCCCCCATCGTGCAACTGGTAACCAATTGGCCCGTATGCATTCCTGCCACCCGACCCCGTTAACTGCTAATGTTAACTTGCATTGTGAATCCGGATTTCCTCTACTTCCTTCTTCACACTTCTTTCTGCACTTCTACTAATATTCAAAGTTTCAAACACATCATTTGAATAATTTTTAGATGATGGAAGGGCCATTAACATTAAGCCCCCGTCACTCACTTTTCATTTTTCAAAAAAAAAAGGCAAAATTTTTCTCCCTTTTCCGATCAAGTACCCCGGCTCACATTTATAATCGACCTGTCATGCTGGGTTCCTTGAAAATAATCTATGCAACACCACCATATCTCATGTTACCTTGGAAAGCCGCTGGCCTAGCATATTTAGAACTTGAAGAAACTGTGCACTAGAGCATTCAGAAACTTCGGCCTTTGGAAGCCTTATGTCTGACTATTAATTTAGAGAATAAGAATGCAAAAAATTCTCTAATACTACTGATGGGGTTCACTTTAATTGCAGTTGAAGAGGATGTTCCGGGAGGGCGCATGCTGGGGTAAGCCTGTTTATCTCTAGGATATATATTTTTCTGCATAGGATTTTGTATATTGCCTCCAAAAACAGGATCTTTTTTATTTTTCCTTTTATTCTTTTGGAAAGAGAGATACCTTAGTGAAGAATTGCCTTTACAACATTTGCAGGAACTGTGGCTGGTGTATATGTAGGAATGGAGCGCGGAATTGAAAGGATCCGTGGCACCAGAGACTGGGTACCTTCTGCTTGATATTGCTAAATGTTTTACTGACACGCTAATCATTTCTTTCCAGCATATGTAATTTACCTTTGGCTTCAAGCCATGACCATGACCATGACTACCAGGTGGTCTACTTCTTGAAATCCAAATCTTGAGTTATATTTTAGGGCATCTAATTTTCAGTGGACGGGATTTGACTGAAGATAATTGCTGTTTGTTATTCTGGCTTTTTTCGGATTTGTTAAAAAAGTATACATGAATGGTGAAGAATAGTTGGTATTGGTAATAATTAAAAGTAAGTAAAGTAGGAATACCGATTCCAAAACCTCGAAACAACTTCTTTTTTGTTAATCTATCTGAATAGTGTAAAGTTGGTTTAAGCTTCAGCAATTTAATCATTACATATTGTTTATTCATCTGCTATATAGAGCATAATAGCAACCCTACCAGAGAGTTGCAAGAACGCCACGGGGATCAGGACAAATAAGCATTTTATAGGACTCAATAGTTGTTCCAGACAATACATGCAAGGATCTGCCTTTTACTCTTTCTTTTTCTGTTTTTGTAGAAGAGTGCAATGCTTAGCGGTGCATTAAGTGGAGCACTGATTTCGGCAGCCACCAACAATGGCAGAGACAAGGTTGTGATGCATACGATTACAGGAGGTGCCATTGCCACTGCTGCAGAATTCCTCAATTGTCTCACCTGAATAAGAGAACCCAGAAAGCTTTTAATTTCTTTCAGAAAGAATCATCTACTAGTTCTTCCTCTGGTCTTTTTGTTTTGTACGTGGACAACCGGTAGTTAATGTAATTTCCAAATGATTTTGAGTTTACTGCTAGCCTATGCCTATGAAAAAGGAATGTTGATAAGACCTCTCTAGAAGGATAAAAATAGAAATATTAAATGTTAGGTAATTGTTGTTATGTCAGAGCCATATCAGCGCTAGAGGCATTGATGCTAAATTTATGTGTCGATTGGTTGATTTTGGTGATTTTTGGGAAACCAGCCCTTATCGGTATTTTTTTTTATTTATTTATAGCTGATTTCGATTTTTTAAGGATGATATGGCATTTGGGGCTGTTCTTTTGAGAGGGAAAATTGGTCAATTGAATTTTGATTTTCATTCATTAAAAAATTTATGTTTTTTTTTTATTTATGTAAAATTTATGGAAATTTTATTTTTCCGAGTATCATTTATCTCTCGTCTATCAGATGGGTAATTTTTCATATGGATGGAATAAAATTGATCCTTTTAGTAATGATTTTTTGTGATTAAAATAAACATTTTTTTATTTATTTAGGAAATAAAAAATATGAGTAAATGCATTTAACTGGATGAATACTTGTCAGGAAATACATAGGGGGAAAGCTGGTCAATGAAATTTTGGTTTCTATTGAACAAGAATTCTATGTAAAAGTGATATCTATTTTTTAGGTGAATAAATAATTTTTTCAGGGAAAATTATCAACAATTGGATGGGACAAAAATGTTTTTTTCAATAAAAGACTTTTATAGTTAAAATGGTTTTTGTCAAAGAACATATAGATAAGGTCTGAAAAGCAAAGGTAAATTCATCTATTTAGATGACTTTTCAAAAAGCGAACACGCCTCTGATGTGATATTAAATAATAATTATAATGTAAAAACATCACCTTGGTCTTTTTTAGATCCATAGAAGGCTAGAACAGTTTTTAGTTATTACCTATGTCTGGCCACCAGATCATTCAGTAGCTAAAATGCTGTAGGCGTAGAATATCTCATTAGGCTGAACATATTTGCCTGCTTCAATCCCATCACAAACTACTTTAGCCAACCGGATCTGCTTCCAGTTTCAAGATAACGTTGTCTGTGGAGACATGAGGGTTTACAATACACAATAGGCTTTCATTTGGGTTTCCTGTGATTGGGGGTGAGATTGGGATTGGCTCCTCACACAGCGCACCTCAGACCGACCTCACTGCTCCCATGGAGAACAATATAAAATACTCTCCCGATGTGTGGCCGGGACGCGTTCAGAGGTTGGTGTGAAGAAGATGCAGATCCGGACTCCTGGGGGTGAGAGGCCGAATGAAAGATTATGAACGGTTGAAAACCAACGGAGAAGAATCACAACCTGAAAACGCCCTTACTCAAAGTGGGTCATGACAGGGGTTTTGTAGAGCAGCTGATTCGGGAATTCTGGAAGGATATGCGATAAAAGTTTTCTCATCTTGCATATTCCACAGTACTTCAAGAGACCATTTTTTATTTTTTTATAACAGCTGAATTATACAACAAAACAAAAGGAGAGTATTCTTAAGAGGAAAGAAACGCATTCTGGAATCTTCTGGATTGTGGTAGTTAAGAATATAGATCCAAACCACGATAAAATATTCAACAAATGCCAAATGAAAGCAGAAAATAGAGAGATCGAAGAGAAACTGAGAGTACTCATATTTCATCTTTAGTCAAACTAGGGGTCAGGGGTCTGCCAATAGTGAGCACCGAGCGGCGATAAAACATACATGCAGGTATTCAAACGTCATATGACATTGCCTGTAAAAGAAACGGATGCAGGAATTCCTCTTTCAAAAGACAAATCGCCGTTTCAAAACAAAATTATTGCTAGTGACCAAAACAGGCGGACCTTTGGAAGTGTTTCCATTGAAAACACAACTTTTTCTACAAAACAAACAGCCTTTTAGCCTCAGTCCTCATAAGTAGAAAAAATAAATAAATAAAATGCTAATAGGATAAAATGAAGTAATTAGCATCACATGCATCCACGACAGTCCGTTTGCAGCAAATTCAGGACAGACCTTTTGGATGCACATGGGCAATGCGTAATAAAGTAAGACCTGGATTTGCAACCCAATCATTTCATTATATTACTTTTTGCCTCTTTGCTTGTCTATTAACTTTTTTAGTAATCATAAGTTTTATAAAATGTGACTAAGAAATAAGATTGATGACTAAGAAATACCTCAAAATGATCATTTTCCAACAGCAACGAGATTCCTTTTAAGTTGCTTCTCTAACTGAACCTGTAATATGCAATGAACAAAAATTAGATATTTGAAATTCTATACCCTATTAGGAAAGCACTTTAACTTACATGTTTGACTTGTATCAGCTGTAAAAGCCACACATATAGGAGAAGCATCAATTGCTTCAAAATCCAAATCTATTACATAGACATATACATAAGCACAGACGCCCATATTAGTAATAAAGAATATAAATCAAAAGCATGGTTATAGGCAATTAAAATTTTAACTTACTTCTTTTAGTTGGAGCTTCTAACCAATCTTTCCCACAAACTAGAGCCTCCACAATTTCTGGAAGTAATGAAGTATGGTATTGATCAACTATTCTACTCTTGGTACTAAATGTTGCCTCAGATGTCACAGTCAATATCGGGATTGCCAAAATGTCACGAGCCAATCTAGAAAGCTTTGGAAACTTGGGGCAATCAACTTGCCAAAATCTTAGAATGTCAAAGTCTTCATCTCTAGGAAATAACCGTTCTTCAAGATACAAGTCCAACTCTGACTTCCGGCTCCCAAAACAATAGTTTGAGCGTTCTTGAACTAACCATTTGTCAAAACCACTCAAAAAATCATCAGGATCATGATCCCTCTGTGATGGAAATGCACTACTTGAGTCTTCAAGTGACTTCTTGCCAACATCATTACCCACATATTCTAAATAGAGGTCATTAAGCGCTAGTCGAACTCTCATAATGTGTCTTTCAGCATTTTCTCCATAAATGAGATTGTAGTAATAAGTAACAACCTCCATTTTAAATCTAGGATCAAGTACAACTGCAATTGCTAGCACCAAACAGCATTCATCCCAATATTTGTCAAACTTTTGCTTCATCTTATATGCCATTGAACGAACATACTGATATTCACTATTCTGCCACATATGCAATCGGAGTTTAATAGTACAAATATCAGAAAAAAGAATACTTGCTGTTGGAAAATTGATACTTGAGAAATTCTTTGTACAAATATAAAAAACCTTCAAGCAATCCCTAATCACTTTTCCCATCTCCCATTCCTCATTAGATGGACAATACTTGTAGTCATGATCAGTCTCAGCTAACTGGAAAAATGCTTCTCTTAACTCCAAAGCTGACTCTAACATATCATATGTGGAGTTCCATTGTGTTGAACAATCAACAACTACTTCTTTTTTATGCTGCAATTTCACTTGACTTTTTGCATTGTCAAAATTTTGCTTCTTTTGTTGTGTCAATCTTACATATTTAGCACTCTCCCGGATCTTATATAACAATGATGATATTTCGTGCAATCCATCTTGGACAGTAAGATTCAAAGTATGAGCAATACATCTGACATGAAATACTTCACCATCTAATGGGAGCAAACTTTGACTACAAAGTTTATTCCTAAGCTCTCTAACCATGATATCATTGTTAGAGGCATTAGTAACTGTAATAGAACAAATTTTTTTGTCAAGATTCCAAGATAGTAACCTTTCCATGACAATTTTGTATAAAGTATTTCCATCATGGGGACATTCCACCGCTGTAAATGCGATAATTTTCTTTTTCAATCCCCACCCATCGTCTATAAAGTGGGCTGTCAAGCAATAGTAGCCTAAATTTTGATCTGAAGTCCACATGTCAATGTTTAAGCTAATCCGACATGACAGCCTATCAAAGTATTTATATAACCTGTCCCTTTCCTCTGAAAAAACCTTCATAACATCATTCCTAATTGTATTTTTTGAAACAAGTCTAAATGACGGTTGAAGATTATTAACAAATATTTGAAAAAATTCATGTTCAACCATGTCAAGGGGATAGCCATGCTTCATTATCATCCTTGCAAGATCCATTTGACTCCTGTCTTGGTCAAATTTAGAGTTTTCAAGACATAACATGGAAGTTGCCCCTTCTAACCTCAATGTCATCGGTTCATTAGTGCCATTTTCTTTCATTTTAGGACATCTTGGAATATGACCTAACAAGTGGCTTGTCCCTTTAGTAGTTCCTCCTGTATACTGCTTTTTACAATACTTACAAACGGCTTTCTCCTCCCCAGAGTCCAATTTCACTTTCTTGAAGTGTTCCCATACCTTAGATCTAGTCCTCCTTCGACTAGAAGTAGATGTTGTAGATGTCTCAATGATATTTTCATCATCATTTGGACTTCCAAAACTAGGTTCATTCATCCTTAATGCATCAAGATAAAACAAAAGCAAACAAAAGAAAGAAAATCAATAAACTACAAAACCATAAGACTACATAAAAAGAAAAGCATAACCAAAATAATAATACGAAATCACAGACTCTTACGTATATTGAGATTCATGTATCAAAAGTCAAAAAATTTGAGAAAGAAAAATAAGGCTTTTACTAGATTGTAACAGATAGAGGTTTAGAAATTAAAGAAAGACATGTCTTCTCTTTAAGCATTTCATTTGACTTAGGTGATGATTATTAACTAGTTGTAGCAATTCCTATATTAGGGCTTTCTTGAACCTGTTACAGAGCTTATCTACATCAAATTCGTTGACTAACATTAATGATCAAGTTAGTTTGTAATCATATGAAATAAATAGTTGATAAACAAACTTTGTACCACTTTGGATGTAAACATCCCTTTCTCCTCAATCTTTTTTCTTTCCTAATTTTTTGTAAGTTCCAACAATAACTGTGAAGATTTTAGAAAATAAATTTGGATAGAATCTTAGATGCTAAGTTTTAAATTATGGAAATATTTTTAGAATCAGATTCTAGAATCCACTTGGGACATAAGAATAAGAGGTAAGGTCCTATTTCCTGGGTGTTACTATTCTTTGACAGAAGATAAAGACAAGTCTTCTTGAAAAGCTGAAGAGTTGTGACCTCTGTTCTCAATTCTTCGAGACTCATAAATCTAGAAACTCAGAGTCCCAACAGAAGACAAAGACAAGTCTTCTTGTGTAGAGTTGTAGAACAATAATGTTATTTATGTAGCTGTTAGCATGTTAGTAGTGTCAGTAAGTTATTTCAGTTAGTTTTCAGGTGCTGTTTATTTATGTTAACAGTAGACAGTAGGGGCAATATTGTAAGTTTACTATGTTTTAAACTATTAATATAAATAGTTGAGTGGGGCGGCAATGTGTAATCGACCCACACTCTTTTTCTGAATTCTCTTCTCTCTCTCTTTCTCTCTCTTCTATTCTCTGAATTTACATCTAGAGTAGGACTGGTTACAGTCTCTAGAAGACAAGTTGGTATTAAGAGCCAACCTAGGGTTTCCCATGTGAGTCTAATCAGGCCGACTGCATGAGAACTTCCTAGGGTTGGAAGTTTTAGCAAGAATGGTCCATCGGCTGGTTCTTGGAGATTACTGGTAGAGTGCAGCAGTTTTCAAGGGATTGTAGATCCTTGGAAAGTGTCCCGTTATCAGGAAGAATCAGAGGGAAGGAAAGAATTCAAGATTAGGGTTCAGATTGAGGATTGGAAGTGGCGGCCAGCCTGTTCTGGGTAAGTTTCAATTTTTATTTGAGATCGACACCAATCAGAAACTGGTTAGAGTGATCTGGAAGTTTTAGCAAGAATGGTCCATCGGCTGGTTCTTGGAGATTACTGGTAGAGTGCAGCAGTTTTCAAGGGATTGTAGATCCTTGGAAAGTGTCCCGTTATCAGGAAGAATCAGAGGGAAGGAAAGAATTCAAGATTAGGGTTCAGATTGAGGATTGGAAGTGGCGGCCAGCCTGTTCTGGGTAAGTTTCAATTTTTATTTGAGATCGACACCAATCAGAAACTGGTTAGAGTGATCTGGAAGTTTTAGCAAGAATGGTCCATCGGCTGGTTCTTGGAGATTACTGGTAGAGTGCAGCAGTTTTCAAGGGATTGTAGATCCTTGGAAAGTGTCCCGTTATCAGGAAGAATCAGAGGGAAGGAAAGAATTCAAGATTAGGGTTCAGATTGAGGATTGGAAGTGGCGGCCAGCCTGTTCTGGGTAAGTTTCAATTTTTATTTGAGATCGACACCAATCAGAAACTGGTTAGAGTGATCTGGAAGGAGTGGCTGGGCTTTTTCTGATTTCTCTGGATTTTTTTTAGGGTTTTCCCAAACCCACGATCAGTTCTTTGATTTAAACCCTAGTTTTCTGACTGTTATTAGTTTCTGGGTAACAGTTAGATCTGTTTTAGCATTCCAGACTGATTGATAATAATCTTTGGGAGATTATTAGGTCTGTTTCGACATTTCTGGGTGTTTTCTATTCCTTTTTTAGCTTTCTAATTTGGCTGCTAGCAATTTCTGGGTGATAATTTCTTCAGTTTTAGCATAAAAAAAGAGTTCTTTTTCATAAATTACTTAATGGAGAAGGCAGGAACTGAGTTAAAGGCTAAAGGGGAAGGTGTTTTGGCAGGTGGAAACATGACTGAAAATACTTTTCAAATTACCACTGTCAAATTTGATGGATCAAATTACTTGGAATGGGTTTAGTCAACTATGATGGCTATTGGAGGTAGAGGGAAAATAGGCTATGTGATGGGAGATGCAAAGAAACCAGCCAAGGAAGATCCATTATATGCCAAATGGGTTTAGGAGAACTATTTGGTCATGACTTGGCCGTGCAGATTCCATGCAGCCTCATATCGGCCAAAATTACTTGTGGGCCAAAATTGCTAAAGAAATTTGGGACATCATGAAAGAAACCTACTCTCAGCCCCTTAATATTACTAGGGCCTATGAGCTGAAATGTGAAGTCAATAATCTTAAGCAAGGAGAGAAACTAGTCTCAATTTACACATCTACTTTGAAGTCTTTGTGGCATGAAATTGATCACCTAGAGACAATTGAGTGGGAAAGTCAGAAGGATGCACAAACATACAAAAAACAGGTTGAAACCAATAGGGTTTTTGAATTCCTAGCTGGTCTGAATTCAGAATACAATATTGTGAGGCAACCTATCGAATCAGTCTTGACAGTAGTGAAACCGAAGTTTGGAGGTGACAAGGAAAGGGATATGAAGAAAGAAGACAAGAGGGAGTTAGTTTGTGATCATTGCAAAAACCGAAGCATACTAGTTTGTGATCATGCCAAACTAATTCGAACAAAGCTCAAAAACAAAAAGGGGAATGCCAATGTGGCAATTACTACTGATGGTGTATCATCCTCTAGCACAAGAGCCACATCCTTAGACACTTTAGCTGTTGTCCGAGCTGCTCTAACTCAGATGGAAAGTGAAGTTGGCACTTCAGCTTCTTCATCTCAGCTGCTACTCCCACTTCAGCATTTGCTCATTTAGGAAAAAGGGCTTCAACATATCATGCTTCAACCCCAAATAACAATGAACCTTGTTGGGTTATAGATTCAGATGCATCTGACCATATGACTAGCTTATCCTCACTGTTTACTACTTATTGCTTATCCTTTGGCAGAGACAAAGTGTCCATTGTTGATGACTCCCTTGTTTCCATGTCTTATGCCATTTCCTTTCCTTAGTTTTGCATGGCCCTAAACTTAGTACTAATTTGCTTTCGGTTAATAGCATCACTAAAAATCAAAACTATACTTTCTTTCCTGATTGGAGTGTTTTTCAGGATCTATAGAGAAGCAAGGTGATTGGGATTGGCCGTGAGACGAATGGAATCTACCTGCTTGGAGGGCATTCACATGGGGAGGATAAAGAAGTGGGGAAGTCATTAGTTTCTCAATATGTGAGCCAAGTTATGCTTTGACACAATCGGTTAAGTCATTTGTCATTTAGGTCTTTGAAGAGTTTATTTCCCAATTTGTTTGAGTCAATTCAAATGTCTAGTTTAAAATGTGAAAGTTGTGAACTTGCAAAGCATTGTAAACAACCTATTCTTTGAGCAATAAAAGGAGTATTCTTTTTGAAATTGTGCATACTGATGTTTGGGGACCATATCACATTACTGCTATGGGGGGATACAGATATTTTTTGTTGTTTGTTGATAATCACACTTGTTTCTCATGGGTTTACCTTATGCGCTCTCGAAATGAGGTATTTACCCTGACTTGGATTTTCCATTAGATGGTTTTGACCCAATTTAGGGTCAAAATCAAAATTTTCAGATCCAATGATGCTAAAGAGTATTTTGCAAAACCATTGGCTTCATATTTCCTTGACCATGGGGTTATCCATCAGAGCACCTGTCCCCATACACCTCAGCAAAATGGGGTTGCTGAGAGGAAAAATAGGCATAAATTAGAGGTGGCTAGAAGCATTATGCTGAACTCCAATGTTCCCACACGTTTCTATGGGGCTGCTATTACTACTGTGTACCTCATCAACCGATTCACAGGTCCTAGATATGAAAATTCCATTTAGCCTATTATAGCCTGATAAGGACTTGTTTACTATTCCCCTTAAGACCTTTGGATGTACTTGCTTTGTTTAGATTCTTGGACCGTATTGCTCCAAATTTGATCCTAAAGCCTCAAAATGAATTTTTTTTGGATATGCACAAAATCAAAAAGGATATTACTGCTATTAACCTATTTCTGGGAAACGGCTTGTTTCTATGGATGTCGCATTCTTTGAGGATGTACCCTATTATCAAAAATTCTTTAGGGGGAGAGTAGTGAGATGGGGGAGAGTAGTGAGATGGGGTCTCATTCATCAAAAATTCCACTACCTGTCTTAACTGCTGAAGGGGAGTGTAGTGAGGAGGGTTGTCAAAGATGTTGGGATTTGAGGGTGTATCACAGGAGGTGGAGGCAGGTTGGTTTCGGTCATCAACAGTCTATGCCAACTCCAATTTCCTTTGTGGCTCTAGATCCATGTACCATTGTTCCTTTATCTCCCGCTACAAATGAGATACCTCTCATACCTTCCATTGTTGAGCCTTCTCCTCCTCCTTTGGATGATCTTGATCTCCCAATTGTAGTTCATAAAGGGAAGTGTCGTTGTACCTCATCTACAGCTCATTGTATATCCCAATTTTTGTCTTATGATCATTTGTCTCCATCCTATAAGTCTCTTTTGGCATCTATTGCTGCTATTTTCATTCCCAGAATAGTGTAGGAAGCCTTGCCAGTACCTGAGTGGAAGGATGCAATGAAGGTAGAGATGGATGCTCTTCTAAAGAACAATACATGCAAATTAGTTGATCAACCTAAAGGGAAGAAACTAGTTTGGTGTACATGGGTGTTTACAGTGAAACATAATGTTGATGGCTCCGTTGAAAGATATAAGGCCAGATTAGTTGCAAAGGGGTTTACACATACATATGACATGGACCATTTGGAGACTTTTGCACCAATAGCCAAGATGAATACTATTAGAGTTTTACTATCCATTGTAGCAAATTTCTCATGGTCATTGTTTTAGATGGATGTAAAGAATGCTTACCTCAATGGTGATTTGCAAGAGGAGGTGTATATGGAGTTACCTCCCGGATTCTATAGTACAGAAGTGGGGAAGAAGGTCTGTCGGCTGAATAAAACCTTATATGGACTGAAACAGTCTCTAATAGCATGGTTTGATAGATTTAGACAGGCCCTTGAAAAATTCGACTATGTACAAGCCCAATCAGATCACACTCTTTTCATTAAGATAATGGATTCCTCCTTGATGCTACTTGTTGTATCTGTGAATGATATTGTGATGACAAGGAGTGATACTCATGAGATTGGCTCTTTTAAGTGATTGCTTAACCAAGAATTTGAGGTCAAAGATTTGGGAGAACTATGCTATTTATTGGAAATTGAGGTAGCACGATCTAAACATGGGATTTTTGTCTCCCAAAGGAAATATGTTCTTGATCATAAGATAAGTGCAAAAGGTGGAGAGCCCCTTGAAGACAAGGTTATGTTTAAACGATTGGTTGGAAAACTCCTTTATCATTGCCTCACACAACCGGGCATTTCTTATGTGGTTAGTATTGTTAGTCAATATATGCGTTCCCCCAAAACCATTCACCTTTTTGTAGTTGAGAGGATTCTTGCTTATCTGAAGAGATGTCCAGGTAGAGGAATACTCTTCAAAAATAATGGTCACATGAAAATAGAAGTTTACACAGATGATGATTGAGCAGGGTGTGTTGATGATAGGAGAAGCAAGGAACAAAATGTTGTTGCTCGTTCCAGTGCTGAAGCTAGGGGTGAGCATTTGGTTTTTTAGTTCAAAACCGAACCAAAAAAACCGATTTAATAAATAGTAAACCGAACCGAAACCGAAATTTGTGAAAACCGAATAAACCGAACCGAATTTTTTCCGATTATTTTGGATATTTCGGTTAAAACCGACTTAGCTGATACAAGAGAGAAATGACGACTACTATTTCCCTTCTTGCTGGCCTATATCCGGCGGTAATCAACCATCCATCCAAGTGCCAACAACATGAGCCATACGTTGCAGCTCATGCTAGGAAGCTGTCAGTTCCTGCTTTAACGCAACATGGGTAGCAACCAATCTCTGGTTATCAACCAGAAGCCCTTGGATTTCCTGATGTTGAGCTACGAGTCTCTCTTCGATTATGGTAGGGTGAGGCGGCAAAGGCGAATCTCCACCTGGATCTCGCCTTATTAGCCCATTGTTCGCAGAATTGCAGGAACCCACTATCGCATGTTGTGGCTTGTTTCCTTGCTATGGACTGACATTACTGCATTATCCATTTTTCTGCCGAGAGACTTGTCTCCTTTTCAGTCCTTCCAACGTAATCACCGGAAAACAAGCGTTTCCTAGGGACCCTAGTGGGAGACCTATCCAATCTTTGTTGCACTTCTCCGTCGTCCCAGGTCCTCTCTTCGTCGTTTATACTTTCTGTCATGGTCGTCGTAGAGATGCAGACACTCTTGCTTTAAAATACAGATTTCAGACATTTTAGAGTTCAGACACTTCTTTGACTGCATTGACGGGACTTTGGAAGACGCTTAGACGCCTGCACAGGTGTAGTTTACTTGTCTAATACGATTGAGGAAGGAAGAGTGAACTCTTTTAACTTTTATCTTTTACTTATTTTGGAAATTTGGCAAATAGCCAAATATGATATATATTAATTTATTATATATTAATATAAATAATAATTAAAATGTATAGTTATAAAATTAAATTAGTTTTTTTGGTTAACTGATTTATCAAGTATGATAACTAAAACCGAAAACCGAAATACAAAAAAACTGAATAACAAAACTGAACCTGACTGAAAAACCGGTAAGACCGAACTGATTAAACCGAAACCGAAATTTCAGTTTGGTTTTTCGGTTTTAACCGAATTATGCTCACCCCTTGCCCATAATCCGATTCAACATGATAGAACTAAGCATATTGAAGTGGATTGACACTTTATCAAAGAGAGTTGCTTCTCAAGAAGTGTGTCTTCCATATATTGCCTTTGACCATAGTTTTCAAGGCGCCAAGGCGAGGCTAAGCGACTGGGGGGCGCCTAGTCGCTAGGCATCGCCTAGGCGATGGAGTTTTTTATGTTAAAAAATAGATCCTAGGGTAATTCCCTAGGTACCATAACCATATTTCTTTAATAATTATTCATGGTTTTCATAAGAAAAGTATAAATTTCATATTAATAGAAAATCAACATATTCATGAGAAGAAAAGGAAGGAAAATAAAATTCAAAAAATATAGGGGCTGAACCTTATTTTTGTTATAGGAAAAGAGGAAAATAAAAAGTATAGCTAGTAGTAGTAGTAGAAGAAGAAGAAGAAGAAGAAGAAGAAGAAGAATATATGGAAGAAGAAAATGTGCTGATTAGATAAAATTTTTAGTTCTTCCTTACTTATTGGTTCAGGTTTTTAAGTCTTTGAGGGTTCAAYACAGCAYTTAGCAATGTTTGTGTTRATTAAACCCTAATAAATAAGAAAATAATAAAAATAAATTAGTATATGAACACACAAAATGATTATTTTAGTTTAATAATGTCTATTTTATAATTATAATCTCAAAAAAGAATGAATAAAAAAAGCATTTTATAGTAGGAAGTAGAAAACTGTTAGGCGGTTGGGTGAGGCGAGCCTCAAAGGGCGCCTTGTCGCCTAGGCGTTGCCTTGACAACTATGCCTTTGACATGCAGCTTGTTGATCTCTTTACAAAGGCAGTCCCAAAGACCAAGTTGGAGATAGATTTGCGCAAGTTGGGAACGACTGATATCCACTCCCAACTTGAGGGGGAGTGTAGAGTTGTAGAACAATAATATGTTATTTATGTTATTGTTAGCGTGTTAGTTGTGTTGTTGTTAGCATGTTAGCTGTTAGCATTTTAGTAGTGTCAGTAAGTTAGTTATTTCAGTTAGTTTTCAGCTGTTGTTTATTTATGTTAATAGTAGACAGTAGGGGCAATATTGTAAGTTTACTATGTTTTAAACTATTAATAAAAATATCTGAGTGGGGCGGCAATGTGTAATCGACCCACACTTTTTTTTTTGAGTTCTTCTTCTTCTCTCTTTCTCTTCTTTCTCTTCTATTCTCTGAATTTTTCTTACCGAATTTGCATCTAGAGTGGGACTGATTATAGTCTCTACAAGACAAGTTTCTCAAAGAATCAAAAGGACTCTAAAGATCATAAATAATTCCAAATTAATTATCCCTCTTGAATTCTTCATTATGAAGGACTGTAAGACCAGTGCAAAAGACTTCAAATGTTAGACATATAAAGAGAAATATCAGTTATATAAAGAGAAATATCAGTTATCTACCCTCTTAACCCAAAACAACTCTGAAATGTTACCAAAGAATTATTCATTTCTTATGGAGTTGGGAAGTGTAATCTGATATTGACCAAAACCTCTAAGAAGTCAAAAAGATGAATAGAGTTTCTAGTCAATGAACTTTTTGTTAACTTGACCAAATGACCATTTAGAGGAGACATCTCTTTCTACTGCTTTATAAACATATGAAGTTAGTGTAAACAAATCACAAAGAAAATGGAGAGAGAGAGAGAGAGAACCTCAAAGAAAATGGCGAGATAGGAAGAAGGTAATGCATACGATCGAAAAATATATCCACTGGCTTTGACACAGGCTTTACTCGTAACCTCAAAACACTGACTTGAACATCTTGAAACTTAATATTAGTGTTGCCTTAGTCGGTTGATGACAGAACAATCAAATGAAAAGCTCAGTAATGCAGTTCAAGCAGCAGCTCCAATCATGATCTCAAACAATAACATGCAGTCTGTTAACTGTTTTTGATAAATAAAGCATCAGTAAGAATATAAGTTACATTGAAATTGGATCAGATTACTAATGTATCAAATCTAATACAATCTAATCCGATCCGATAATATAATGGTCCAATCCAATCCAACAATCATAATGGATGTCAAGATCCAATTTAATCAGATTGGATTTAACTGGATCCAATCTATGTCCAGTCCATTGACAGCCCTACCTTGGAGTTACATAGGTCACTATACCCTTGGATATTTTAAATATTTCATCCACTAAAAGACAAATTAATAAGTCATTCAGCTCAGCCACTTTAGACATCTTCAAAGGGCCCCTTAGTGGTAAATCCTAAATTCCAACATATGATAAATTGGCCATAATCTGATATTTTGTTTCTTTATGAAGAAGAATAGGAATAACAAAAGTTGAAGCCCTAACTAGTTATTCCATTACCTGTCATAAACAATGGAGAAATAAATCCTTCTAATCTGATTTTCTGTTTTTTCGTGAGGAAGAGTAAGAAGAGAAAAGGTATTTGAGTTCAGCAACGTTCTAATAGGGGATAGGCAAATTCATCAAAAAAAAAAGGGGGGGGGGGATAGGCAAGAAGAAGAACCCAGAGAGATCAGAGATGCAACTTGGGCTGTTTGTCGATTTGTGCCAACATTGTTCTGGACATTACAACCTGAAATGGCACCCATTTTGTGGCTTGTGAATTTGTGATTCCCGGTATTAGAATCAACTTCAGAAATCAGAACAGCAGTTGATTCTTGGTTTTTCTTATCGACTCATCTTTCTTCCGCTGTTCATGGACGTTAGGGTGATGTAAATGGATTTACTTGTCAATATTATTCGTGTTTTTGTTTCTATCAACAAGACAATAACGTGCCTAGAAAATAAACGGTGGCAGTAGAAATTGAATCATAAGCAAATTCATTCTGAGGTTTTTTCTTTGAATATGATTCCGCCAACAATTTCTACTACTTGATCCGAATATTTGATACTTTTCGTGTAGGCATTGAATAAATAGTCATGGTCATAAAAAAGACAGCCCTACTGGTCCCCGCTCCTTTTAAACAACAAATATTAGTTCATCATAATTCAAAGTACACACAGAGTAATGTTATTCAAAAATTTAAACGACGAAGTCACCACTTCGTAGGAAGACTTCCGATCAGCGGAAGAAGATTTAATTAAGAACTACTAAGTACTAACCGGAAGAAGAAAATCGGCAGAGAATCACCTCAACCGCGCGCTCGTTCATGTGAACTTCCTCAAATGGTTAATAGCGTGAAAGATATCTCATCTTTGACCGGCCAAATCCCTCGTCCATCGAACTCTGGAAAGGCAGAGACGAACGATTTTCTTTGAGAGCTTCTTAACGCTCCAAAAAAACACTTGGATTAATGGATTTCTCTTCGTTCGAGTTTCGTTCAAAGGAAACATCTAAACTTTAGATTGCAGATGGTGAAGGATGAATTTGATTGAGAGGGGGCGAGATCGTAAAAGGTAGGGCTGTAAACGGACGGATCCAACTACGTCCGCATCCAATCCTGTTATTTAATGCTGGGACCCGAACCCGATATGTCGGACTCGAATAGGATTCAGATATAATCCATGTATTGTATTTAAAAATACCCCTCCCCAAACCCTGCATTGTGATTTGTGGCAAACACCAAAAAAAAACCACATTGGCGGGGGGAGCCTCGTGCCTTTAGGGTTTAGACTGCCTTTTTTTATTGTTTTTAAAAATGACAAAAAAATAATTATTTTTAATCTATACATGTATAAATATATAAATATAAAAGTTTGAATTTCTCAATTATAAACTTAATATAGTTTTATATAATATCAATACTTATACATGATTATATTATATAAAAATAATAATTTTTATCAGAGTTGGATTTTAATCGGATAAGATGGGATTAAATCTACTTCTGATCCGATTATTAATCAGATATAAGTTCTAACATCTTAATTTTGAGATAATGGGATTTATAGAATTCAATTGTGTATCAAATGGGACTTTTAAAGTCCGTTGGCATCCCTGGAAAAAGTGCTATTATTCAATGACGAAGCACGTCATTTGGGTCATTGGGAAGGGTAAAGTTTTGCTACCCACAGGTATGTGCATTTTCAACCTGGTCCAGAAAAGCTTAGCCCAAAAATTTCGATCTTGGGCCTAGAGTTTGTGTTTAAACCTAGCTTGGGTTCATGTTGTTAGACACAAATTTCTAAGCTAGGCCTAGCCCTGGTATAATATAGAGTTAAATATCAGGGAAAATAAATTTGTAACCCATGAACTAGTATCATAAAGATGTTAACCAAATTAGTGGCATTTATCTAAATTCATATGGGGTTTGATTGGTCAAAGCTCTTATGACACTATAGATTTTTTCAATGCCTTGGGATTTCAGTAATTTACTTAAATATGAATTGGGATATCCTTCTCACACAGCACTCCTCACAGCCACAATCCATCTTTTATTGGGAACATCTCCCCATGAATAATAAATACAAATATGGGAGATGTTCCTTATATGTGGCCAGGACATGCTGTGAGGTTGGTGTGAAGAGCAGATATGGACTCTTTATATATACCATGAGGTTTTAAATTAGGCTTAATTATCTTGTTGGTTGAGAGCCCAAATCTCCTTCAAACAAAAATTCTATGCACATAACATCTAGTTCACATTAAGAATATCTCTAGTACATGTGTGTTAAATTTATGGGGAGATGTTACCAATGTTTACTTGGATTCCAATGATTTCATACTGTGTATAGAGTTTTTGCTTACAGAGAATCTTGTTGTATTGGTTGAACCCAACCAAATTGAATATGTCACTCCACTATGCCATCATTCAATTTGTGATATTAAATGAAATAAAATAAAGTTTATTACCTTTATCAAGGGGTGGCAAATGGGTGGGGTGGATTGGGTTGGGTTAGGTGTGGGTTGAGTACCAACCCACTCATATTGACCCGCTAACCCATTTGTCACACATGTCTATGGGTCATGACCCACCCTAACCCTCCCATTTGACACTAATTTAAAGTGGTTTTTTTTTTCTCTGTTTTAATTGCATAAAAACATAGAATAAACGAATATAAAAAAGTTCCAATTTTTCAAATAAAAAAATAGAAAACTATAAAAACATAGAAAATGGTAAATAATATATATTTCATGTAAAACACCAGAAATTGCAAAAAAATACAGGAAACTTATAAAAAAACCAAAAAATATAAAAACTTGCAAAAAAATTACAAAAAATGTAAATGCACACACACACACACACATATATATTTCAACTAAAAGGGTATGAAAAAAAGATAAAAAGTTAAAAAATATTTCCAAATATAAAATACATAAAAACACAGAAAAATGATAAACATCAAAGTTGCAAAAAAAACAAGTAAATTGGAGAAGATAAAAAGCTCAGAAAAATATAAAATTTGGATAAAAACAGAAACTGCAAAATACATAAAATTATAGAATATTCAAAAATCTATATATTATAGCAAAAAAGTAAATGAAATGCAAAAAAACAAGAAAATGATAATTTAAAAAAAAATGGATAAAATCAGAAACTACAAAAAAAAAATCAAAAGTTTTTTCATGGCATTTTGTCATTGGATAATATTCACATTAGATTGCACCAATGTAAAAAATTAATTTTTTTTTTCATGTAAAATGAGAATTTTACATTGTTTCTACTTTGGTAATTGATTTTTTTATCATAATACCCTGAAACAATGACAATATCATGATGAAACACAATGTATTACTCCAAAAACTGGGCTCCAAGATTTGAATCTTCAATCTAGAGATTTGAGTGAGGAAGAGAGAGTGGCGGTGTGTTTGCTAATTCAAATTAGATATTTGAGTGGTAAAGAGAGAGGGTGGTGGTGTGGCAACCAACTTCAACATCTGAGATAGAGAGAGGGGTGGTGCTTGGTGCAGCGTCTACCTTCCATAGATTTGAGGAGTCAGTGCAGCAACCATCTTCAAGATTTGAGAGAGAGCGATGGTGCGACATCCACCTTCCATAGATCTGAGAAATCGGTGTGACAATTGGCTTTAATCGAAGATCTGGGTGAGAGGAGTAGAGAAAGGTGATTAGTGACATGAGAGAGAGAGAGAGAGAGAGAAAGAGAGAGAGAGAGAGAGAGAGAGAGGTGGTCGGTTTCACACAGAGGTCTGGGTGAGAAAGAGGCAGGGGCTAAGGAAGGTGATTGATGACATGAGAGAGAGGAAGAGAGGGGTGACTAGCGGTGGCGGCATGAAAGAGAAAGAGAGGGAGAGGGAGGGTTTCACTAGAATAAATCCAACCCAAAGAGAGAGTCAATGGGTAACTGTCGACCCAATCGACCCTAACCCTTTTTTCCTGACCCTTATGGGTCATTTGACCCATCTTGACCCACTATTCAAATGGGTGGGTTGGAGTCAAAATTGTTAGCCCTACTTTATCATTAACATGAACCCAGACAAATACTATATGTTTATGTTCAATAATTCTAAATTAAAATAAAAATGATATTAAAATTACTATTTTGCAAATATTAATGAAGTAAACAATCTATCAAATTTACATTTATATCAAAAATTATTTTTTTACCCTCAATAAATTTATACAAATAAAAGATAATTATTTTAGTACTTAAAATTCATAAATTTGTGCATTATATGTATCTTCAAATTTTAATATTTCTTTATAAAATATTCATTGATATTTTAATTTAGACTAAAAATAACATATTTATTATTTACAAAAATTAAAAGTTTTGTTTACAAAATATTCAAGAATATAATATAAAATTGAATTTATCAAATCCAATAATTTAAATTTATATAAAAAATGATTTGTTATTTCAGAAAAAAACTATAGAAAATAAAAATGTTAATAATGAAATCATTACTTTAATAATTAAAAATTATGAATTTCATATAATATGCATCTTAGAAATTTTAATAATTTTGACATATTTTTAGTTAAGATTAAAAGTAAAAATATGATAATAATATATGTATTTTAGAAAAATTATAAATTTCATATGATAGTAATTTTGACATTATCAAACATGTCAAAATTTAATATTTAATTAACATTTTTGTTAATGTTGAAAAGTAAAAATAGAAAATAGTTGCTATAGTAATTAAAATATAATAATTGCATATGTTTTGTGTCTTGGACTTATAGAATTTAACATAATAATAGTTTTGTGCATGTTTTACTTTGTAAAAACTATATAATATGAGTATTGGACTCCTGATTGTTGGATTATCAACAAAATTGTATGATATTTATGTATCTTGTTATAATAGTAATATATTTTTTTTATGTATTTATGCTTTATTAGTGGCTATTTTGACTTTTAAAATTAGTGTAATTGATGTATTTACGAAATTTGTATCATTTTCCTAGCGTATCCATGTGTTTTCATATCTTTCGTTCGTATTTATGCGTTTCCAAAATGTATCCATATTTGTATCCGTATCCAAATTGTCCGATACGATATTCAATACGGATACTTTGATTCTTGCCCTAATTAATAATTGGTCTGGAACTGGTTCTTACTGTTTTGAATTGATTCCGAGATCAGACCCAAGCCGCTTATATAGTTCTTGTTTTTTCTTTTTTATGTAATATATAATTTTTGTTATATTTTATATGTAAAAGAGTAAATTTCGTAATTAGTATATAAGATAATCATATAATTTAAAACACATATTTTATCAATATATAAGAAGTTAAGTATTTTAGTTTCAATTTTACTAAGATTACATTATCAAAATTCAAAAGGGTAAAATACTTATACCTCCCTTGACGTTTTTGAAATGTGCTTAAACCTCCCCTCACCTTTAAAAGTTGCAAAGACCTCCCCTCACTTTTGGTTTAAAAGTTGCTTATTGACCCCTTCCGTTAATTCTAGTGGATGGAGAGTGAAAAAATCCCAAACTAGTGACTACCTTTGTGTGTTTACCAGAAAAGTTAAAGTTTCATATTACCAAAATGACCCTTCTAGGATTATTCTGCTATCACTTGAAATAATTCCAACTTAGTTCCTCTTTTCCAGTTCTGCCGTCCAACTCAATATTCTCAAGGATTCTACAAAAAACCCTATGTGCAAACAAAAAATACCTACTTTTTAGAGGTAGTTGTTTTTTTTTTCATACGTTGAATACATTATTAACCTAAGCTTTTTGTGTTTTTTTTTATTCTTGATTTTTCTTGATCTATTATTGTTTATATAGCAAACATGGCGAGTAAAATGTATATATAGATTGTACTTGAGTGTAGAACAGATCATACCTTGTTTTGTTGTTGTTTATATAGGCAATTTCACTGTTTGTTTAATACCTAGGTCTACTCATCAAGATAGGGAGGTCTTTACAACGTTTTAAGGTGAGGGGAGGTTTAAGTACTTATCAGAAATGTTAAGGGAGGTTTAAGTATTTTACCCAAACATGATTCATGCGTATTTTGGATATTTAAAAAAAAAATTGAGCAATA